AAAAAAACCATAACATTTTGTGGATGACGTTAAAACCCAAAAATGTTATGAATTTTGCCGTATATTTTACGACTTTATTTTTCTGTGTGTAAGCAAGAAAAAATTATTTTCCATCATTGCGTGTATGCCTATTGAATGTTTATGAATGAAAAAAATGGGGAAAAATTTTTATTTTTTCTGAATGAAAACGTATAGTAAAAAAAAATTTAAAAAAATGAATGAATGAATGAATGAATGAATGAGTGGGATTTCACCTAAACATCATCATCGTCCGTAATTGTTATAAGCAAAATTTACAATTACCCGAATGAATTTTGAATTATCGATATGGATATATCCGTTTCATCATATTTAGGCTCAATCAAAAAAACAAATCAAATCAACAAGATATGAAGAAGCAAAGCGAACCTTCTTCTAGCCAAAAATTCATGATAAACTAGTTTTTCATTCAAACATCTATCTTTCTCTTTTGCTTTTTTTCCAAAAATTATTTTTTGAACTTTAACCTCAAATTAATCAAGATTCAATCGAATCGATTAGTTGAATGTTCAATTTTGTTGCTGTTGTTAAATAAAGCTTTTCCGGTGAGGATCTTCTTATATTATACACACACAGTGTTCTCTCGATTTTCAAGTTTCAAGATGATGATCATCATCATCATTCGCAAGAAAATACATATGCCAGTAGCTCTAGAAAACAACATATCACTGTATTAATAATGTTTTTAAATTAAATATTTCGGATGATGAAAACTTTGGATTTTTTTTTTGGCTTCCAATCAAATTAATTTGATGTTTCTGTTTCGAAATAAGATTTGACGTTCATCATCATCATCATCATCATTTGTCGTTATAGCTGGAAAAAAAGAGCTGGTAAAAGAAAGAAAGAAAAAAGAAAAATTTCTGCTGAAAAATCGAAATGCCGGGCGCCTTGCATTCAAGTATTCAAATCATCTTTCTTTACGAAAGCAATCGGAAGATGAATCTTTCATTCATTCATTCATTAGTTTTATTTTTTTTTCTCTGAATGAAACGAGTATGCGCTTTAATCTCTTTCCGAAAAAAATAATATCTAATTCTGTAAAAGTCATCATCATCATCATCATCATCATTACATGTTCATTCATATAAATAAAATGAGTAACAATCATTATCGTCATCATCGTCATCGTACAATTTGAATGAATAATCATTTTTAATTGCATACAATTTATCAAAAGTTACTATCGCAACAAACAGAAAAAAAACAATCCTCTTTCAAGTGTGTGGTCTGCGTAGGTGTTTTTGTTGCTTTTTTTTCATTTGTAAAATGGCCAATTGATAAGTAATCACTACTTACTTACTTACTACTAATAATAATGGCCAAATGTTAATTAAGAAAAATCAAAGTTCATCTTGATAAGTATTTCAATAGTGAATTGAATTGAAAGAAAAAAATGGTTCATTTAAAGAATCCATCGGTGGGGAGAAAGAAACGCAAATTTCTTTCAATTCCAAATAAATTAATTGAAGAAACTGACAAAATTAAAAAGCTTGTCAACAGTGTTTTCCAAATATATAAAAAAAAAAAGAATCCATTTTGATAAAAGCAAACAAAAAGAGAGAAATCTTTTTATGAACGAAAATGGAATTGGCCACTTCCACATTGTGAAGTATTATTCCTCATCAGAAGCATCTCTCTCATAAGCATTTTGGTCTGTGTCTTTATGTGTGTGTGTGTTTGACACAGGAAATATACAACAAAAAAAAACATGCAGAGGCAGTTTTTCAAATCGAGGTCGATCAAAGTATAAGGACTTATGAAATATAAAATAATTCAAAGAAAAAGAAGCAAAAAAAAAGCAAAACCAATATTTAGACAATTTCAAAAGGAAATGACCACCTACATCAATGATGAACAACCAACGCACAAACAAAACAAAATAAAAAATATTTCCAAACAAGATAAATTTAGATGATGATGATGATGGATATTTCATTTTAGTATAAGGTAGGTGTGTTTCGGTGTCTCTTTTTTTTTTGGGTCTCATCACAGCTACTACCATATATATCAATCTCATCAATCCTTTCGATCAAGAATATCTTCGCTTGATCTTTGAATTTGTTTTTCTGAATAATTTTTTAAAAAAATCTAAGCTAAACTTATTTCAGTTTAATTTTTAATAAATTTGTACCGGTGAAACAAACGAAAAAAACTGGTGGTTGTCATAATGGACATTTGGAATGAAACAAAAAAAGTCAAGAACAGATTTTAAAATCAACTAATGATTTCAAGCAATTCTTTATCATCATCATTATGATGATGATGACGATAAAATTGTTTTTGATTGCTACAAATCATCTACGTAATTACAAACATCCGTTGACGTTTTTCATTTTTTTTCCTACACACATACAAAATTCTCATTATTAAATCAAATTTTTTTTTTTTTGGTGTATAGGTTTTCAAAAATTGAATGAATGAGTGATGACATCATTCATTCAATGGGTTACAAATTTACACAAAGTGAAACATTTTCTTATAGTAAAACAACTGTTAAATGATCCTAAACCAACAGAAAAAACATTACATAATGTCAATAATGTTATTTTCTTGAAATGTCTGTATAGTTTGATGATAATTTTACGAATGACCGAATTTTCATTTTCGTTCAAATATTACATCAAAACTAATAATAATTGCCAAGAGAAAAGTGATGGACGATTATATTATTATAATCAGATACTGTTTGATCGAATAATCGATTGTTGTTGGTTGGTTGGTTGATTTTGACAAATGATTTGTAAAACCAATTTTCATTCACAAAAATATTCGTTTCTTGTCGAAACAAATTGGTTGCAAAATAATTGATTTTTTTTATGGAAACAAACAACAAAAACACCATCAATAATCTTATTTTATCTACAACTTTTTTTCCATTTTGATTAGATCTTTCCAGACCGAAAATTTGGTGAAAAAAAAACAAACCCAAAAATAAACATAACATGTTTATGACAGGAATTGTATTGTGAAAACCAAACCAAAACAAATCTGAATTTAGAATTCTAAATGATGATGATGATCGTCTTATTGACCAACAACAATTTTTCTTACTATAAAGGACATTGAAAACGCGTACCTAATTTACTTATTTAATCTCAACACAATGATACGATAAATCAACCATCAATCTCACTCTCTCTTTATTGGTTTACCGTTAATATCGATCCTGTTCATCTGATACAATGTATGTATGTTCTCAATTTAAACGAAAAAAAAAAATAGAAATAGAAACCAATGATTCCTGAGAAAAATAAGTACTATTTTACTGTATAAACTATATGATGGATAATTACATTTTTTTTATAAATAGTGTACGGGTAATGTATGTTAGATTTAGTCGCATATACATCATTTTCAATGTTTCATTTATACTATAAATATAAATAAGTATTAATGCCATTCGTTGTCGTCGTACGTATGTACCTCATCACATGTACAATTGTAATTATAATTTACTAAATAAATAAATAGAAGAAAAAACATCCTCCCCTACCAAAAAACAAAAAACAAAAATTCTCCGGAAACTTTAAATCCCATCCAATTTCTATATTCTCTTCTCTAGATATGAACAAAAAGTTAACAAAGAACTAAAGCCTAAAAAATTTCTCATTTTCAATATAAATGTGACCAATAGTGAGAAAAAAAAATTCCCAGGAAATATAGTAATAAACAACAACAACAACATTGTGTCTAAGGAACATTAATTTTGTTTATCTCATTTGACAATGACACACACACAATCGTAAAACTCTCGTGTCGATTCGTGCTAAAAATATTTGATCAGTAAATCGACAATAGAAATAATGAAAATTACATAAACGATATAGGCAAAAATTCCCGAGAATTCAAATGTCCAAACGTAACGTAACAGCTTTAGCAATGTTTTTCATGATTTTCATGACGATGGAATCGATTTATTAACAGGATCAATTTTTTTTTTTGCAGGATTCAATTTTTAAGTCATCCAAAAGGAAAAGGATGATTGAACAAAACAAAAAAAAAACTCAATCCTTTATCATTAAGCGGAAATCAAATACAAACAAACATAACAAACACAACAATAAGACGACAGTTGATATGATTCATTCAATTGAATAAATGAATGTTCATGATTTCCATTACAAAGAAGTAAAATATATTGCACGCGGGATAACTAATCAGTAAAAAAAAGAAGATTTCATTACATTTATCGAATTAAGTGCAACAATTTAGTAATAATGATATAATGCAATGTGATCCACCTTTTAAGTACATTTTACACGGATGAAACCGATTGAATTTATTAATAATGAAAAAAAGAGGAAAACAAAAAAAAAATTTCAATGGAAAGTCAATTACATTTAAATTTCTTTTTTTTTTTTTTGTAAAAAGCTTTGTGGCTTTCGTTTTTTGTTTTTGTGCAATCGATAAAATACATTATTGAAAGATTTGAGTGGGGGGTATCTTTTTTATTATCAAGTTTCAAGTTTTTTAACTGGAAAAACATCACATTTACGTTCATTGATGATGGTAACCATCATATAATCAAATGTGTATAAAATGTCGTCATATAATTTCAAACCGGAATGAATTTCGCAAAAAACAAAAATTACTTTCTAGAATGAGTCAAAATCCGCAAACAAACAGGCAAACAATCCTAATAATGTAATAAGATGATTTCAGGTTTGTTCAATATGTAATACGTGTTTGATTTCATAGATTAAAAAATTACTAATCCATTGGATAAAGAGTGATGATTAAAAAGTTATGAAGCGATGATTATTTTAGAAATCCAATGATAATATATAATTGAACAAATGATTCTCTTTCTCTCATCTTTCATTCATTCACTCAGTTAATTGAGAATTATCATATAAAAAAAAAACAGTATTTTCAAATGTGAAAGGTCATTTCTTGTTATAAAAGCATCATTATAGACGAAAAAAAAAACCTTGAAGCAACATGGATTTAATGATGATGATGATGATGACCGAGAACCTGAACTACCACTCCACATCATCGAAAGCATCAAGTTTGACCAACAAAAAAAAAGATGTTTGATTGTAAATGACCAAGCTTAAGATATTCAACAACAACAACAACACCCCTATTGATTCGTTTGATGGCCACGCACCAGACACACGAACATCATCATCACGATTGTATATGAATTTCTTTGATTATGTTAAAGATAAACCTAGACTAACTGGTTCTTTTTTCATCCTTAAGATGATGATGATGATGATGATGTTCAAACAACGTCATCATCATCTAAGTTTGAAGGTTTTTTTCGAGTATTTCTTATTTGTTTCACTACCACCAAAAAGAATGAAGAAAAGCCCGAATCTATCTTACGTAATTTCATTGTTGAAATCGATTCTGATCAAACAATTGATGACTACATACGTAGTAGTAATGAAGTACACTCTTTTTGTAAAACTTGCCAAAAAAAAAACTATAGTTTTCATTCTGTTTTTCATTCAAAAAAAAAAAAAAAAATCAAATCATCATTATGTATTTGCCATTGGATTCTATTGAATGAATGATATGCATAACGATGATTAGGGTATCATCTAGCGATAAAAATTGAAAACTATTTTGGAAATTAAATAATTTATATATTGGCGCAAGCATTAATCGCATTTTTGTGGATAAACTTCAAAAGAAATTTTAATAAAATTTTCCAAATGATGTTCTTGTGGTTGTTATTGATTTTAATATGGAATATGGAATGGATGGAAAAATATCAGACATACCTGTTGCTTATCGATGATGATTTGGATAAAGAAAAATCAGTTTCTTCAATTCGGATAAATAATTTTATTCTTCGGAGTTGAATTTCGGTTGTTTGTTTTTCTTTTCGTTTTGGATAGATGAAAATCAAAACAAAACAAAATGACAATTGGATATTGGTCTGTTGATGTTAATGTTTATTGAATCAAAAAACAAAAAAAAATCGAAAACCGAAAAGGAAATCCATTCAAACAACAAAAACAAAATGGAAATAATTAACGGAAATCAATGCAATACATAATTCGAGTGAAGAGAAAACAAACCAAAATGTTTTTTAGGGGATATCTTCTTTTTCAACCAAAACGGATGTTTAATTCAACAGTGTTAATGATGACGCCATTCGTCATTGATGATAAAATTCAATTTTGTTTTAAAACAACAATGTACAATTTGACAATTGGTTTTTCAATTTGATTTTTCAATTATCAGGAATTGATTACGGATCAAGAATCAATAAATAACACTTGATGAAACTTTGATGTTACAAATATCAAATCTATACAAAATCCGAAAATATTTCGAAGAAATCAACTCCCCCAACACATTGATCATTATCATTCATTTTACCACGAAATAGAAAAAAAAACTCAAAACAACGAATTTCTGTTTCTGTTTTTTTACATTAGGCCGTAATACAGAACAGAAAAATAAAAGAAGAAATGTCCATATTTTTGACATGCGTATTTTGACATCGACAGGTGATTCATTCATTCCAGGTTTATAAAAACTGTCATTTGAACAGAAAACATACCATCAACAACCAAACAAATCGAATTGGTCAAGAAATAAGAAAAAAGAAAGATTCGCTTTTTTTCTGAGTTTTTTTTCTTCTTCTGAGGCGGGTCTTTTTGGTTTCCCCGCAAAATACTTTATATTCATATATGATTCATCATTGGTCACGTGATCGACGCATGATTCAAACAAAAATTCCATTCATTCATTCAACTAACGTCATCATGTGGTTCAGTTTTGAATCTTTAGTTTTTCAAAAAAAAGCAAATTCTTCATAGATACACAAGCAAAACATTGAATGTTAAATGAATGTTGAATGTTAAATGATCATTATTATTATTAACGTTTAATTTTGATTATAAATTGGCATTGTGAATGAAAAAAAACAATGATAAGATTAGTTGGATTTATTTTCTCTTGATTAGTTTTTTTTTCAGAATATTTGATCAATTTTGGGCAAAAGGGAGGATATTTTGTCCAATGATCGAAAAATATTGAATTCATTATATGGCCAATGTGTGCAGAGGATAAAGAAAATGATGATTTTTGCTTTCTCCTTCTCTCCCAATGATGATAATGAATGTCAAAATCACAAAAGAAAAGCCAAAAAAACCTTATCAATTATTAATCAAATAAAGCAAAATTTTCTTATTATTCTTAAATAGGTTGTATTCATTTTTTTTCATCATCATCATCGAATTCATTGTTTATTTTCAGTTTTTCATTTTTGGTTCCTTGATTCTAAATAATTGATTGCAAATAAGAATGTTTAAAAGATGGATATTTTCGAAAACAAAAACAACAACAACAACAGAAAAAACACGTTGATCAATCACACCTTTTCTTTTTTGAATTTCAGGATTTATTTCCGATTCAAACTGAATGAATCATAAATCTTTTGAAAGATTCTGTGAATCACGCAATATTCCTAAACAGAAGAATTGAAAATATTTAAGAAAAATTTTATTTTAAATAATTTAACACGCTGGTTGGTTGGTTGGTTGGTTGTGACAATCATTTTGAAGTTTTCGTGCTCATTATCATTATCAAAAAATTACTTATTATCATCACCAACAACCAAAGAAAAGAGGATAAAATTCTACATCAAAAAAAAAAACGAAATATTTTTTAAAAAAATCCAATGGTTATTGGATGCAAATTTCTTTATCAATTATATTTTGATTGCGTAAATATTTATGATGATTATGATGATGATGTTGAGAATGAGAATGATTATTATTATGATTATTATGATGGTTATTAATCATCGACGATAACATCATCATCATTGATGAAGATTGTTGTTGTTGTTGTTGTTGATGAGGCGACAAAACAACAACATTGTTATTTTCCATGGTCAACTGGTGGCGGTGGTGGTGGTCATCGATTTCACTATTTGATTCCATTGTTTTTGATTGTGAATGTTGTTGTTGTTGATGAATGGTCATGGGAAAATGAAATCCATTGGATGATATAGATGATGATGATAATGCTGTTGATGATGGAACTATTGATGGAAAACATTGCTGCTGTTGATGGTGATGATCACTGTAATTGATTTGTTGTCGATTTGAATGGATGTTGTTGTTGCTGTTGTTGGATTGTGGATTGAGCATAATACATTGATCTTGATCCTTATCATCATCATTGATTATCATTGTTGCTGGCCTTAATGAAGATCGAAATGAACATTGGTCATTTTCATTGATAATATTATCTTTCGTAGCATTCGAAATTTGATCTTGTTTCAATATACTATCCAATGCAGCAATATATTCAATTGCTCGATGTAATGTTTTAACTTTTGATAAACGTTTTGTACGATTTTCAACCGGAACACAACGACGAAGACGCATAAATGCCATATTAACTGCTTGTACACGTTTTCTTTCTCTAGCATTTCTTTTCGCTACTAAATGAACTGGTTTTTCACGATGTGGTATATGTTTATATGTTGATTTTGATTTCAATGTACCGGATGATTGTCTATGATGATTTGTTTGTCTTTTTTCTGATGATGTAGATGATGATTCAGGATTTGATAAATCACATTGAATATTCCAATCCATATCGATTGAATCATGAACATAGGACACTTCTTCCGTATTAGAATGATGTTTCAATGTCTGATGATGATCCATAACACGATACAAACATGAATAATCATCATTTGAAATGAAATGATGATTAGTCGTTGATGTTGTTGTTGATGATATATCAAAAATATTTGATGAATTAAACATTTCCATTTGAAAAAATTTGATCAAAGTTATTTTGGATAAAAATGTTGATAATTTTTGTTCGGATTCAAATCGATTGGCTTTAACATATGAAATTTGTGTACGCTTGTTGTTCAAAATATACCTGGATAAAATTCGTGAATCAACTTTTTGTTTGGAGGCGTCGACGTCGTCTCATTTTATGAATCTGATCTGAATCAAAACCACATTTCTAGTCAAACATGCGTTATATCTACACAGACCAAAACAAAAAACTGCACAGCATATTCAGCATTTTGAAAAGCTTGTTTGTATCAATGATACTATGAAATACCAAAGGGAATGAAGAACGAAAAAAACCAAACCAAAAATCTCATCCTTTTTTCTACCGGGGCAAAAAAAAAGATTTTTTTTCTTGCTGATACACCTGGCGTGGCGTGGCATGTCAATATATATCAAATGGTTTAAAATGGAAACAAATTAATAATGATGATGAAAAAAAATCAGAACAAGCTCATTTAGTAGTCTGATGTAGTTGTACGTGCGCGTGTTCATTTATCCAATACAGAAAAAATAGAGGCCCTTGTTTCATTGTCATCCTGGTTGTTTTGTTTTTTTGATGATAATTCTGATCATGATGATGTGTCAAATGTAATTAGTTTTGATTATAAACATCGAATATTTAAAAAAAAAGAAGAATAATAATCGTGCCTCATTTGTTTTCAAATTGAATTTTTTGTTTCATACTTTCATCAAACAAAAAAAAACATCTTTACCTGATCATCTCTAACTAACTAAATGACTAAAACCAGAAAAAAAACATATCATCAATGATAAGGTCAAATTGGAGGAGGCTAAAATGATCCATTTTGTTGCACAAATAATGCTAAATGTTTTTGTGTGTGTGGGCAGCAGCTGTTGTTCCGAAACATTTTGTTGATCATCTTAAGGGGGATTGAAAAGAATAGATTGATTATATTTGTCTGATTCATCATTGATTTATTAAATTCAGCTGGCTTCTTAAATGATCAACATTAACATTTATCTCTATCTTGACCTTTCTTTTAGAGTAATTATTCGTCGTTTTGTTTTTTCGAAGATGACAATATTCATTTTGAACGACAACAGTAATGATTAACATCATCATCATCATCAAATAACGATGTATTCCGGTCGCGTGCCTGTATATAACTATTTAATCACTTTTTTAGATCTAGGATTATCAAACCTGGCACATTTGATACATTTGATTTACTAAAGTTACTAAAAAAATGTTTGTTACAGCAGTACATAAAAAAAGACCATTTTAGTACGCCTAAGGCAAGCAGGTGATGCATTTTTTTTTCAATTGTCCTTGCCAATGCTGTTGAACAATGTTACGACAAAAAGTAAATGATAATAATAATGAGTGATAAGTAATGATGTTATGATAATGTGTGTGCTTTTTTAATTTCATTTGTAATAAACAATTTGATAATTTTAAATTACTTTTTTTTCTCACTAAACAACAACATTGTAAATGGTAAATTTTCAAATTGAAATTTACATAATTAGTTTCAACAGTGGATAAAAGATGGCACTTTTAGCATTTAAATTTTATTCCAACATTTTTTCGACCAAAATTCTTCAACATTCCATACATGAATAAATATTTTTTTTTTTTTGATAACCATCACCAATAACAGGGCCGAACATGCAGAAAATCCGATTGTAAAGTTAATAGATCAAACGAATAGTGATGTTGTTGTTGTTGTCGGAGAAAGAAAGTTTTTCCCTCCACAATATAAAAAAAAAATATTTACATAGCATCATTTCTTACAGAAAGAAATAATGATTCTGTTGAAAAAAATCAAAATTCTAACATCTTATTATTTTTTTTTTGTTCATGCAAAACAATATTCGAACAGAAAATTGTATCAAGCTTCTTTTTTTTTTGGGTAAAAATTCTGAAATAAAAAAATTTCCATTTTGAAGAATATTTACCAAAAAAAAGAAGATGCTTCAAGCAAGTCTGGACAACAAACAAACAAAAATTTCAATCATTGAAAATATTTGCATAATTTTCTTTTCATAATAATAATTTTTTTGGTTCGTTTCTTTCACACAATCAAAATAACACTTTTTTTTTGTTGTTGTTGGTTCAAAATTCCAATGAATTTTTTTTTTTTGTGAAAAGAAAATCTAAATTTAAATTTCTTTTTATTCAAAAAAAAAATTTACAACGAAAAAAAAGTATTCTCTGAATTTCATAATAATATTCGATTGGATATGATTAATTTAAATTATATCAACCCTTTTTTATATCCTATATTCCTAATAATTCCCTACTTTTTTTTTACAAATTTCATTGGAAAAAACTAATAATAATTTAGAAAATAAATTAAAATAATATTATTTGGGTTAATCAGTCCGGTTTTTTTTTGGTTTTTTTTTGTAAAACAAGTTTACATGCACAACATTTTTAATTCTCTGGTGATATAATTTCCGCCGTCTACCATCAACATCGAGAACTTTCTAGTTCCTTTACATTGGGTAACAATGTTTAATGTATTTTTCGATAGGGAGAAAAAAAATTTTTGAAAGAAAAAAAAATTATTTCATTTCCATTTTTCTCTGTGTGTGGATGTTCCAGAAAATAAAAAAAATTATGAATACAGTCGCGCATGTGTTTGGGATTCCACAATTCCATATATGATACGCATTGAAAACAGTAAAAAAATCAAACAGAAATGAAAATTAAGTTTGATTCTTGTTGTTGGCCTTATATTATGTGGTGGTTCATTTATTGTCCGGTTTTACAGTTTGTAGCAAAAAAAAAACTATAGGGTATATAAAATTCAGCAACCGTCGTCGTCGTTCCACATTTTTGATTTTTGATTTTTTTTTTGTTGAAACAAATAAATTTTTATATTTTTGATTCAATTTTATGTGTGTCTGTGTGTATACACATTGTGCATGTGTTTCAAATTCTAGATATTTTTATGTTTCACTACTTTCGCTACAACAACAACAGCAACATTTGAATTGGTTACGGGTTGAAAAAAATAAAATAAAATAAATTCACAACCGAAACAAAAAAACAAAACGAAATTTTTTTGATTCCCAGTTCGACATGAAACAAAAATAAGACCCAAAAAAAACAAGATTCTTTCGCTATTTGTTCAGCCATGAAACAAAACAAAAAATCTGTATGTTTTTTTATTTTATTTTTCAATTTTTTCGAATACATCATTCATTGATGATGATGATGATTATTATTATGGGTCATCATTAATATGAATCATGAATCATCAAATTATATGTAACTTCTCGATAGTTTCGTTCAATCGAATATAATTCCATCTCTCTCAAAGCAACAGAATTTTCAACTTTTTCAATTTTTTTTTGTTGTTGTTGTTGTTTGTTTATTTTAAGCTGTATGTTATTGTATTTGATTTATAATAACATTTAACTGTGAAATTATTATTATTATTATTGAAAACAAGTGTTAAGGGAAAACAAAAATTCTTTGATATTTATGGGCTATCCCATTTGCGTCATTCTTCAATTCAATTCAATTCAATGAAACAAAAAAACTATTGTTGCCGCTGCTGCTATTGCTAATTCAATTGATAATTTTTCACCGATTTTTTCAATTTTGTTTTGAAAAAAAAACAATTTTTTTTTTCATAGTTGATTTTTAATTAACAAACAACAACAACAACAAACTAACAAATCAAAAAGTTTTTTTTCAAACAACAAAACTAAATTCTTTTTTCCTGTTCAGTTGAATTGAATGAGAGAGAAAAATCAAAATAATTTCCTTGTTGAAAACAAAAAAAAAAATAAAGGAATTCCATCAATGTTTGTTTGTCCATCGATTATGTCATTTGCCTTGTTTGTTTTTTTTGTTGTTGTTGTTGTTATAAACATCGAAACATTGAATTATTAATCTTTCCAAGAAAATCGGATTTGTTTTTTTTTGTCGTTTCGGTAATTCTATATTCTTTATTTTCAAATTTTTTTAACTTTTTTTTTTGAAAAAAAATTTCAACTTTGATTTATAAGGGAGATTGAATGGCAGTCCATTATTATTATCATTTTTTTTTTGATAACGTCATAAGTTTTCTTTTTTTTTTTGTTCCAATCAAACAAAAAAAACGTCAAAAATAAAATTCACAATTTTTTTTTTATTTTTTCTTCACACATATTCAAATGTCAAAGATAACTTTCATCATTCTGTAGGAAAAAGAAAAGTCATTCATAACATCAAATTTTTTCCGTGTGTGTGTGTGTGTGTGAAACCAATTGTATTGAAAACGAGAGAAAGGTATTTGTTATTTTAATCTACTTAGTTTTTTTCTGAATTCTATAATCATTGCGAACCAAAAAAAAAAAATTCTTATCTTTTTTTCCAGGTAATTATGGAAACCAAAAAAATTTTTTTTTTTGGTACATTTTATATCAGTTTTGAATGAAAAATCATTAACTAGTAGTGCGTTTTGTTGTTGAAAATGAATACATTTCTTTTCTTTTGTTGCGAAACAAATCCATCTTATGAAATTATTTTTTGAGAATGCAAAATGTTTGTAAAATATAAAAAAAACAATAATACAACTAGAATAGCATACTAGAATATCAATTCTCAATAACTGTCAAATCGAGATTCAAGTTTTTTCCCTCTAGCCACCACCACCACCATTTATCCCAGACCAACAAACCATATTTGGAAGCAGATTTTTTTTTTGCTTTTCAAAAAAATAAAATAAAAATCCAGTAGAATAAATTTTACTTTTTTTTAATATAAAAAAAACAAAATAATATCATATTTACTTGATATAAGATCGATCATATTCAATAACAACAACAACAACAAAAGCAAAAAACGACAAAAACAAAATCATCATTCGTGCGTGTGAATGTGATCACCAGGAAGAAAGATTATATGCATTTGTGTTTTGTTTTTTGGTTTCTGTATCACTTAATCCTGGATCGGTACCTATGGGATTTTTTTTTATATAATATGTTACCAACATATGCATCTAGCAACAACAATTTACTTTACATTGATTTCTCATGAATTTTCACACAAAAATATAAAATGTTCGTGCATTTTTCCATATGATTTGTATTAATAATTACATGTTTTTCCATGTTGTTCTCTTTCTAATCTGTTTTCCATTGAAAATAATCAATCTTTTTGTTTTGCAAAATGAGAAATTCAATCTTATCGATCATTTTTTGCACCATAAAAACAAAAACTACTAGTACAATAATGAAGTAGTTGGATATTGATGATTGTCGATGATAATATGACAATCTAAATGATGTTGTAAGTGAAAAAAACAGAAAAAAAGAAGAAGAAATTCTTGTTATAATCATTTCATTTCAATTTTATCATAGTGGTGATGATGAGAATGATGATGATGGTGGTTAAAATCTTTGAATCATGAAAAAAAATGAAAATGAAAATCCAAGATTCTATAGATAGAAATGAAATAAAAAACAAGAACCAAAAATGTTTGCCCAGTTAAGCGTAAATAATTTGAAAAATGAACATCATTGTTTTCCTATTTTTTAACAATATTTCCGACCAAAAAATATTGTGGCAATATGAAAAAATTGAAAAAAATAATAATAAGATATTCCGACGACTATAGCGAATAACATTATGTTTGTTTGTTTGTTTGTTTGTTTGTTGATTCACTGTGCAATGCATTAAAAAAGTACACAGTGAAAAAAGAAATTCTGTAAATCCTTTTTCAATGAAAATTCATCAGATGCATCACATTTTATATTCAAAAAAAAAAAATCAAATAAATCTTGTCCAACAACAAAAAAATAGCCCGATAGCAAAATAAATCTAAAAAAGGAAACAAGTTTGTGGAAAAAAACCAAACCATTGACAACAAACAACAAGAATATTTTCAAGGTTTTAATACTTGATGATGATAGTGATGAAACAAACTTTTGAAAAAAACATCATTGAATATCCAATGTTTTTTTTTTTTGGTAAAATCTTGCCCTTTGTCCAATGTTCTATGGTTTAGTTTGTTTGTTTGTTTTGAATTGGATTGGATTGGCATTCCCCAATGTCAAATATACTACCGTTGGATATTATTATTACTGTTTTTATTCAATTTTTCATTCTATTTACAAATCATATTCATATTATTGAATAAAACGAATGCAAATGTTTTTTTTTTTTGGATCTTGCCTCATTTTTCTAGTTTTTTTTATAATGAAATGGGCTAGATACACTCATTTTGTTTTTGTTAATTCTGTCCTAAAATATATAACGAGGGTATATATGTTGTAATTATTTAATTTGATGAAAAATTTACCAAAAAAAAATAAAACAAGAAAAAACTAGATACAGTCTTTTTTTTCCATTGAAGTGTTAAAATATTCATTAATCATTTGTTTTCAATTGTTTTTTTTTGTAGCAGAAAAGATCAGAATCTGGAATTATGAAAAATGATGATCCCCATTTATGATTCACAAACACACACACACACACACTAACACAAGCAATGTTAAATTAAATCGATTTTCATCTTCATCTTCAACTGAAGATGAAAATATTTGGCTGATTGAATATATAAGTGTATAGATGAATGAATAAATATAAATTAAATAAATCATATTGACCTTATTGATAAATCCAATGTTTGTTGACGTTTTTGTATATTCAAGTGGACCATTGGATCAGAAAACATGATGCTATATATATATATGATTCCAATATAAATGTTTTCAGTTTCTTTTCTTTTCATTTCTGTGTTTCAATTCATTTCATTCAGGTTCAAAGAAAAACCAAACCAATTTTTCGTTGATACATCATGAAAATTAATGTTTCACATGTTTTCAAATGAAAATAAATGCAACTAAACATCAACATTCATTTCATCAATATTCGTGTTAAAAACATTCAACTTAAACATCAATTAATGATTTTTCAAGCCAAAATATAAATCAAATTAAATTATAATGGTCATCATCATCATCATCATCATCTTGAAAACTTGATTGTTATTAAATTATAACAATATGTTTCATAATGGTCAAGCTGATTGATATACAAGAAAACAAAACAAAAAACCTAAACATACAATGATATTGCCAAAAACTTATCGTGCAAAGTGTGTGATAATCGTGACAGAAATTCAATATTTTTTTTTTGGTCCTTTAATTGAATTGTGTGTGTGTATATATATCTTCATATTGTTTTTGACATTTCAATTGTTTCGATATCCTGAAAATTGATAATTCAATTCATGCTTTGTCATTTTGTGTCATTGTTAGTGAAATTGATACAAATATATGATTTGTGTTGATAGAATCAATTCAAAAAAAAAAACCAAATAATAGAATGTTGCGTGCCACTTGAATCATTCAACTTTCTTCTTTTTTTTTGGTGACAAATTTTCATTATTATTATCATACGAATTCAATCATCATGGCCATTAAATAAACTAAAACTTATCATCATCATCATCAACAATAACATTATCAACAAAACTGGACAAATCATTAGGAATTGTGTATTTACTTTATTTTTTTTTTGCTATTTCGTTCATGGACAAAAAAGTAAATTGTTCAATTTTATTTTATGATTATTATTGTTTTGTTTGGAACATCTTTTTTTTTACTCGGAATTTGAAAAAAAAGAATACATCATAAACTGAAAATGTCCATGTTAATAGAAAAACCGACCAACAATACATCGTCGTCATCGTCATCGTCGTCTACAATTCAACATTTAAATAATATAATGAAGCAATTATATTTGGATCGTCAATTTCCATTGAATTTAGATCGACAATTGAAAGCAGATGAAACATCAGCAGCAGCTTCTACATCGTTCAATATAATAACAACATCTACACCGATTTTTTCTTTATCACCATCATTATCAACATCATCATCAATGACAACATCATCAAATTTAGAGGTTTCATTTCAAGAAACATTATTATGGTCATTATTATTTTATCCAATGGTTATTTTAGCTGCTATTGGTAATCTATTAATCATATGGATTATAGCTACAAAACCATTAATGCGTAACATTATGAATCAATATTTAATGAATTTAACATTATCGGATTTTTTATCCGTTACATTTAATGCTAGTTTTAATTTTATATTTATGCTTCATCAACATTGGCCTTTTGGTAAAATTTATTGTATTGCCAATAATTTTATTGCTAATTTAACAATTGTTTCATCCGTTTCAACAATGATGTTAATCTCTATTGATCGGTAAGATATTTAAAATAAGCATAACTTGATTTTGTTAAAAAATTGTTATCTAAATTTATTACAACAACAACAAAATTTTTATTTTTATTTTTAAAAAAATTAAAACAAAAATTATATAATTAATGCTATGATAATGAGCATTTTGAAATATTAATTACATCAATCAATTCTTCCCAAGAATTAATTTCTTTACGTAAATTTTCAATTAAATTTTCAACTTGAAGAATATCATATTCACGACATTGTTTTTCCAATGGTTCTGTTGTTGAATCAATAAATGATCGAGATTTTCGTTTGAAAAAAAGCCAACTATCCAATAGACTAGATGATGATGATGATTCTTTGGATTTTTTTCGATGTTCATTTATCATTATACATTCATTCATTTGTTTGTTTTTATTTTCAATAAGATTTTCAATCATTTTGATTAATCGTTCAAAATTATCAAATTCATCTTTCATAGACAGATTATATTGACTGGTTGGTTGTTTACAATTATTTCTATTAGCTTGTAATCCATTATTTATTTTATCATTGTTTAAAACTAAATTGTCAATAAGTTGAAAATGTTGTCGTGCGTTGGCCAATAAATAAGCCGATTGTGTTATAGCATCTTCAATATCGAATAATGAATCAAAATCTAATTGTCTAGCTAATGTTTGATTTGTTTGTCGACAATAAGGAAAACCCGATATCGATGCAAACACTAGTTGCCAATCAATATGATTACGATGAAATTCTAAATAACAATCAGCAGCCGATGATGATCGTAAAAAATCGTTTGACATTAAAGCAGATCGATCAAATTTTTTTTCAAATTGTTTTTTATATGCTTTTTGTATACCATAAATACGTTTCGATGGCATACGATATTGACAATACCATTCCGAATCGGTTGTTGATCGATCAGTTTTGTTATTGCCTTCATTGTTATCATTATTATTATTATTATTCGATAATGGTAATTGATTAATTATTGGCCTATAATACGTTTCAATCAGATAAAACATTAAACAGAATATAGTCTTTTCCAATTCTATCATTCGACAAATAAATGAATTTCGATTTCCTGAATTGATTTGCTGCAACTTATTATCATCATCATTATGATGATATTGATGATGACAGTTATGATGATCGATCAGTATAAAATCTGATTCACCATAGAATTGTTGTTGTTGTTGTTGTTCTGATAAGGTTTGTTGTTTTCGTTGTCTTTGTACAGCTGTGGCAGCCATTTTTTTCTATTAAAAGTTTTTTTTCTGGTAACTTTTTTTTCGACGAATAAGAGGAAAAAGAAAAGAAGAAAAAAAAGTAAGTGGAAAATGAAATTCACTGGAAGATTATTATGACAACAAAATAAAATGGTAAAAGTGGTAAAATTATTCGGTGGAATTATTGAGGAATCAGGCAGCAAAATAAAAAAACATTAAATGATGATGATGTTGATGAAGAGGCAAAATATTTGAAGTAAATAAATGACAAATGCAATGATTTTCTCCTGTTTATGACGTTTGTTTTTTACTGTTATTTTTTGTTTTCGTACAACTGTCGATTGTGTATATGATGATTGGTTCAAGTCGTTTTTCTTCTTCTTTGTTTTCTTGCTGTTTGATGTTGATGACGTTTTTCTTTTTTTTTCGATGATGTATTATGTATTGAGAATCGGATGACGATATTAGGTTGATATCGAACCAAAAAAAAAATGCTGATAATAATGGAAATAGATAACAAAAAAACTTAAAAGTTCATATCAATAGTACAAGGCTAATAATTTGATAACGATTTGATTCGATTCAATTCGATTCGCAGCAAAATACCCAAAAAAAACAAACTATACATTTATGATGATGATGATTATCATTGCAATCATATGTATATGGCGTCGTAGGAAAAACAAAACTTTCTCTTCTTTTTACGACTAACTATCTTTTGTTAAGTTAGTTCTACTGTCATCATCACATGTTTTGATTATAATGGAACAATGGTAAAATTGTTGATGCTGCAACCACCACCACCACTATGCTGTTGTTGTCTTGAAATTTTTTTTTGTCTATTTTCTATTTCATTCAAAGAATTTATTAGAAGTATCAAAAAGAATGTACGGAAGATAAACACAGTGATTATTTGTTGTTGTTGTTGATGTTGATGATATTCAATTCTCCTTTATAACAATCAATAATTATGAAAGTTTCAAAGAAAGATAAAGTTTGTTATTGACAAACTAAGCTCTTTTTTTTCAAAGTACAAAATAAAAATTATTGAAAAAAAAGGAGAGAGAGAAAGAGAGAGAAAAGTGTTATTGATTGTAATCATTGTATGATATAGCCATATTACCATTATATCAATGTCATCATACATACGTAGTTGATTTGTTACATTCATTCATATATATCATTGATTTGGAACTTGTCGTCACAGGATGTGAATGCCGTAACCACAGTGTTAGTTATTTTGCAATCATTAACTTATGATTATTATTATTGCTAACAACAAAATATTTCTATTTATCATCACAAGGATAGAAACAAACAACAACAACAACAACAAAACGTAGCTAATTCAATTCACTATTTGAAAAGAGTATGTAATTGAATTGACTTTTTCCGTATTTATTATATTCGGAAAAAGAAACTGTTATCACGTTTCTAATTAAAATCATCATCATTATTATTATTACCGTTATTGAGTTATAACTGAATATATATACTTAGAACGAAGGTTTCCTGAACATTAATTATTTCTAAATAAGATTTCTAAGTCACCAATCTCTTATACCAAATAGTCTGACCATTTGCTGATTCGGTCATTTTTTTCTCCACCAAAATTCAATGACAATAAAGATTTTTTTTTGATAAAAAGATGTTGACAGTTTATTTATGAAGATTCTTGCAAAAAGTAAAATATATTCGATTACGATTAATTTACGATTATTTTATTTTTTGTCAAACCAAAATAATAATAATGATGATCGAAATATTTAATGATTAGCCTAATCATTTTTCAATGCTGATTGCTGATGTTTAATACTTTGGTAAACAAACTAAAATTAGCTTCTTCTTCTTGTTCTTGTTCTTCCTTTTGTGCATGGCAACAAACAAAAAAGGGCGAAATCTTTAATATATGTTGTTGGAACGGGAAAGCAAAACAGCCTGTTTGTGTAAACAAGTTGCACTTAATTTATCCCTTTCTCTTTCTCACTTTTTTTTCGTGTTCCTTCAATGTAATGACTTGTTATAAAAAAAAATACTAAAGAGTTTTTTTTGTTAAATTGCCAGAATACAATTTCATTTTATTGCTTTTAATTTGATTTTTTTCTTTCTTTTTTTATTGGCATTGCTTTTCATTTTTTTTTCGATTCAAATAGAGTTTGTAAAAAAAAACTAAAGCTACTTTTTATTCTTTTTACAATCATATAATGAGAATTCAATTCTATCAAATGATGATAATTGAAAATAAATTATTATTATCAACAACAATAAAATTAGCCCTGATTTCCAGGTTTTATTATAATGTAAATTTTAATCTATTATTATCGAAAATTAATTTTGTTCATCAAATGCAAAATGTTTATATTCAAAATGATGATGATGAATTAATGTTAAAAAAAGTAAAAAGTTATAAATGGAATTCTAACTGAATACCAAATTTGATATGGCCTTTGATAATTGAATATTTTTGTCAAATCTTTATATCTGAAACTCATTAAGTTAAAATTCAGTCAATTTCGAAATGTGAAATAGTTTATGATTATTTATTCGGTCTAAATTTTCCATAGAATTTCCTCATCATATGAAAAGAATATTGATATTAATTCAAGTGAACTGATAATTTAATGTTGTTTTTTTTCGGGCTATTTTCACACAATCAATATCAATTGTATGGATCAATAATCACTGACAATAATGTCTATATGTGTTTTGTTTCCTTTTCTTTCTTTTTTCTTTTCTCTCTCTCTATCTCTTTGTTAATACATAATAGATATTATGCTATTGTACATCCGTTAAAACCTCGACAAACAAAACGGCGTTTTTTTTGTTCAATAGGCGCCATATGGACTTCATCGATATTATTTTCATTGCCTGCATTATTATATTCAGATACTGAAGATCTTATACAATCATTATCAACAGAAACTTTTGATGATGATGATGTTGTTGGACATGATGAACTTTCATTATTACCATTTGAATCATATAATTCAACTAATGCATCATGGTTTTTTACAATGAATTTTTTATCGACAACGGAAACCAGTGTTTTCAACACTATTATTGATAATGCTACATTAAATTATCTTTCAAATCAATTGTTTCAATCATCATCATCAGCAACATCTACAACGATAATGACAACTGGTAAAAAAACACCCAGTAATAGTAAAACTTTCGAAACATTAGATCATGGATCATCATCACCAATTTTTATTCGAACACTTTGTATAATGCGTTGGCCTGATGGTGTTTCCGGATTTTCGACCTATGAATTTTTGTATGTTATAAAAAATCATTTATAAATTGTTATAATGACCATGGATGATATGGATAACTTTTTTTTCCATTCATTCTTTCTTTATTTCTTTCCATAGATACAATATGGCTTTTTTGATATTCTTTTATGTGATACCAGTGTTAACAATGATTGTAGCATTAATTCTTATGTCTCGTGTATTATGGCCACGTGAATTGATTGGTGAACATACTACTATACCACAAAATACATTAATTCGTTCAAAGCGAAAAGTAGTTTGCATGTTAATTTGTGGTAAGCATTTTTAACTTACATTCTTTTTTAAATTGAACTAATTAGCTCATTTTAACAAAAACTGACTATTTCATCTGCTTATCTGATTTTCTTTTTAAAAAACAAAACAGTTATTAGTGTATTTGCATTATGTTGGTTGCCTTATCATTCATATTTCATTTCAATTTATTGGTGGCCTTCATTAATTAAAACATCAGGAATTAAACATATTTACTTGGCTTTCTATTGGTTTGCTATGGCCAATTCATTATTCAATCCTGTAATCTTGTTTGCAATGAATCGAAGGTAAATGAAATTTCCATTAAATTTTTATTATAAAATTTTTTTTCTCATTCTTTTTTGTAAACTTTTAAAATACACTTATAGAATAAGAAATTATATAAAACATTATGTTAAATGTGCTTGTTGTACATTGACAACAAATAAAAACAGAAAAAAAATATTTCGAAGCATAAATCATCATCATAATCATAATCATCAACAGCATAATAATAATTGTCAACAGCAAACAAATCCAATGCGAATGCTTAATTATCATTATCATTATTATCCAAATAGAACAAATCATTTCAACAACAACAATAACAATCATTGTCCTCATCATCATCATTGTAGCCAAAGTTCAAAGCAAAGTCAGCAAAGTGGTATTGTTGGCCAACATTTACAATTACAACAAGCTATTCAAATAGAACAATCAACAAATCAGATTGGAAATCAAATGAATAATAAACCATGGACCATTCAAACGAATGGTATCATATCGAATGTTTCATTGCCAATTTCATTGATAACTGCCAATTCCAGACAACATCATCATCATCATAATAATCGAACTAATCAACAAGTTCAATCACAACAACAACAACAATCATCATCAAAAACAATAAAAAAAGTTGAATTTTGTTGTTCTAAACGTGATATGTATACTAGTAGCGATCATAGTAGTTTTGTTCCATTATCGGATGATAATGATCAATCATCATCCAGAATGACAAGACTTAAATCCGAAACATCAGCTATTGGATCAAAAATAAGAAATAATTTAAATTATCATCCATATTTTTTACAAAATGATCATCATTCTTGTCCAAGTATATTTTTTACACATAATAAAAATAATGAATCGATTGATAGTGTTGGTTATGATGATGACGATGATAATGATGATAAAAATAATGATTCACCATCATTAAAGGTGAACATTTCACCATCGCTTAATCAATCCAATCATAAAAATCGTCAAAGTTCAATCAAAAAGTATACATTTTTTGAAACTTGAAAAAAACTAAAATCAATTTTTCTTCTTTTTTTCAAAAAAATTAGATCAAATTCAATGACAATGGAAAATTATCCATCAAACAATGGTCCTGTTTCTGTTTAAAAAATTTTTTAAAAAACAAATTCGATTCCTATCCAATAGATGTCGTTATTGTATGGAGTGAAAAAACATTAATTTTGGACATAAAGTTCCTCAATCTTTTCCATCATGATCTCAATAATGTAAAAAATTTCTTATTTTAAAAAATGTAAAATAAAAAACCATTTGTTGATTTGTTAATATATTTTATAATAATGAAACAATTATGTATTAATGGGGTTAAAATATTATATAATTTGTAGTCGATTAGTAGCATCTATTTTTTTTTCTTTTTGTTTATTAGCCAACAAGTTTATTATTATCTTGTTTATCCACACATCGATCAATCAATCAATCATGTTTTATTTTTTTTTTGTTTTGATTTGACCATCTGCTTGTTGTTGCTGTATTCATAAAAATAGCCAGAAGTTAGTTGTGTAATTAGATTGTTAAGTTCATTCATTCATTAAGAATTGAATGTTCAATGATCATCGAATTTGATCAATTAGATCAAATCCATTTTTTTTGTTTGTTCGGTCGGTCATATGATTAATAGATCAATAATTATTTTGGTCAATCATCAAATTCAAAAAGTCTCAAAGTTGATTAATAGATGACATTGAAGTTAGCAAGAAAAACTATTTACTATTTTTAAATCCTCTTCATTCATTTCCAAAAACAATTTTAACACAAATGTATACATAAACGACCAACAGATTTTTTGGAAGATTCATTACATTCAAAATCTTCATCATCATAACCATTGCCATCCATGAACCGAGGTCAGACAAATCATCATCATTATGGATGACTGAGATGTGTTAACAATGAATGAAAAGTGGCAAACCATGCATGGACAAGAAATAATAATCGTTGACCAACTTTTCTTAGTTCAATGTTGTTGGTCGGCGAAGTAAGAAAACAAGCAAAAAAAAAAAAAAATGCATACATGCAAAAGGGGATCCACTATAAGTTAGGTTATTGAATTTGCTTGGTAAACTCGATCTGGATTTGAAACCAAACAAATGGCCTAACTCAAATAGAAAGAGAAAGAGACAAGATTGATCATCGAAACATTATATATACCACTACGACCAAACTTGGTTTCGAAAGATTCCCATAGTTATACTCTCTTTCTCTCTCTCTTTCTCTGTCTTTTTGATATCTTTGTGAGCAACAAAAAAAATGTATGTGTTAATGTGTAGGCTGAAAACGGGCTCCATATATGCTTGCAGAATCGACAGATCAAAAACTCGACTAAAAATAAAAATTTACAGAAACAAATACAAACGAATCAGTGCTGCCACCGTATACTAAAGTGGCCTAGGAAATTTTTTGTTTTCACTCAGTCCCCTCTTTTTTTTTTTACTTTGTTTCATTCGAATGTTCCAAAACAATTTCACCTGATTTGGTAGTTTTTTTTTCTAATAATGATGAACATTATCATTTAATCCGGCAATCTAGATCTAATTAATTCATCTTATGATTCCGGAAAGAATTGATTCGTTGGCATCATTTTTGTTTGTTTGTTTTGTTTTAAATCGCATATCATTTTCGGCGACTTAATGAGAAGGTTAGAATCTTTTTCTATTTACATTATTATACTGTTGGTTTTTCGTTATTTGTACTTTTGTGATTAATTCGAATCGACAATGTGAAATAAATTATTATTTTTTTTTTCATTCATCATCATTTTGATCATTTTCTAAAGTGGCTGTTATCATTTCGACATGTCATGCTGATAAGTAAACAAAATTCAAACCACATCATGTTGAAAGGTTCTGGCTCTTGTGCCATTTTCGACAATGATGCAACAAATCACGATCCTAATGGTGTTGCCATCATCGATTCCACAGCTGACCAATCTATAGGGAACAATAATCAGACTTCATCACCGCCGCCAATTTCATCATCAACGAATAATGGACAACAACAACAGTTGCCGTTGAAAGTTGGACCATTAGCTTCAACTAATGAAACTCGAATTGTGTACCATGTTGATGATGAGGAGACGCCATATCTGGTGAAATTGTCAATACCACATTCTCAGATCAAACTTAGTGATTTCAAAGCTGCCATTTCGTTGCCTAGGCCTAATTACAAATATTTTTTCAAAAGCTATGACAAAGAAGTTGGTGTGGTTAAAGAGGAAATTTTTGATGATAATGCTTCATTACCGATATTCAAAGATCGCGTTGTAGCTTGGGTATGGCAATTTCTTAACTAAACTGAATCTAAATATAATCGCATTTCTTTTTCCAGTTGGTATCAACGGAAGGATCAGTCGTTTCGGACAGTACCAATTCTCAATGTCAGACAGAAATATCCGCTACAGGTCGTACCGTACATGCTAATCATCGCCATCATCACCCACATCAACGACAACAAGAATGTAATGGTCTGATTGGCGATTCTCATCCATCAAATTTTCAGTATGTACTATGAATGACATGTTTATTACAATTCTTATTTTTAACTTGAAAATTAGTCCATTAGAAAATGATTCATTAATGAATGCTCGAAATGAACACATTCATTCTCATCTAAGTAAGTTTGACCTTTATCTTGTCTTGTATCATCACTAATTGAATTCTGTGATCTTATCTGTAATTTAAGGTCCTAGACGTGGTTATAATAACAACAAAAGTGTTCACAATAATAAATACAGTGGTGGAAGATATGGATCTTCTAGTGGCTACTATCATGGTCATCACCACCATCATGATCATCACCATCATCATGGTAACTATATGGATTCATCTGTGATGACATCAGATATGGAATCAACTTCTTTTGTCGATTCCGACGATGATGATGATGATGATGACGATGACTTGTTGAACGATACCACCGTTGATGATGAGAATGATTATGAAGATTATACGAGTCGTGTTTCGACTACTACTGAAGAAACGAGCGTTTCTCGCCAATATCAACGACGTAATCGCCATCGCAATCGAAGACAAAAAGGTGGCTATCGTAATCGGATGAGTAGGGTATGTTCTTTTTTACTTTATGATTTGTATCTATTATTTGTTATATACCTGAAATTCTTTCCCTAAACAGACATCATCATTGAGCTCAATCACCGAATCATCAATGTCATTAAATATCATACAAGTAATATTGAATCTAGACACTGTAAATTATTTGGGTATTTCTTTGGTGGGCCAGACCAGTAAAAAAGGTGATGGCGGTATCTACGTAAGTTCCATATTAAAAGGTGGTGCAGTTGCATTAGATGGCCGTATCGAACCTGGTGATATGATTCTACAAGTGAATGATATCAATCTGGAAAACTTAAGCAATGACGAAGCAGTCGAAGTAATTCGAGAAGCTGTAAAAAAACCTGGACCAATCAAGCTTTTGGTGGCCAAATGTTGGGATCCACATCCTTTAGGTCATTTCACTATACCTCGTTCGGAACCTGTTCGACCCATTGATCCAGAAGCATGGGTAGCTCATACAGAAGCTGCTAGGGCAAAATTTACACGTAAGATTACATTATACTTTGAATGTGTTTTTATTGATCTTTAATCCCATAGATCCAGATAATTTTCCATTAAATCTTGCTGCCTCTGGCAATTTTATGGGAATGAGCCCAACACCAGCTGATATAGAGCGAAATCAAATGTTTCAGCAATCTACACAATCATTTAATCCATTACCGAATGTCTACCCATTATCAGCAAACGGCAGTGCTGTTGTCACTAGTGGTGATAACAATTCGGGCATTGTTTCTGGCTGTCCACTTCGTTCATCATTCAAATCTGGTCAATCAACAATCACGACAATACAGCAGCAACAGGTGTCAGCTTCATCCTGTCTGCCACTTTCATCATCATCGTCGATGGTATCTGTTCCCATTCCCTTGACACATGGATCAGACCTCAAAACAATAGCTTGTGCAATGGCTAGTCCAAATTCTGGATTGGATGTTCGCGATCGAATGTGGCTTAAGATAAGTATTCCAAGCGCCTTTTTGGGTTCCGACGTTGTTGATTGGTTATACATGATGGTGAATGGCCTACGTGATCGTAAAGATGCTAAAAAACTGGCCACCAGATTATTAAAAGAAGGCTACATCTGCCATACGATAAATTTTAAGAATTCATTGTCCGAAAAGTGTTATTATATTTTTTCCGAACAATTGAGCCAAATCAACAAAGCAACAATCGATTCTCTTTCAACAGCTGACTTTCAAAGCCAGTCTGCCGAATCTCAATCGATTTCGGCATCAGCTGCTGTCGGTGTTCATCATCAAGTTCATTATCCTCATATTCACCAGCAACAGCAACCATCTTTGCCCAATAATTTTGAAGATAATTTTGGTCAAGCATTACGATTGAAGAATGAGTTTAATTCAGACGCACAACAACAGCAACAACAATTATTAACCAGCTTTGATGTAACCAATAATCGAGGTGGTCGAAATAAATTCCCATTCATGTGTAATTGGGATGAAAAAAGTGAGATCTACAACTATGGCCTACTTGACCCACAACCTATGACTATTGCAAACAGCGATTCAACTATGCAAACTAACCATTCAGGTGAGATTTTGATTCTTTCATTTTCTTGTTCTCACTTACTTTTTGATCAATAAAGGCGGCAATCATTCATCATATCAAGATCAACATCCCAGTGATGAACAGAACAGCCAAACGAGTGGTCAATCAATTCTTTACAATGGACAAGCTGTGATGGGAAATCCACTCAATACTGTCAAAAGTTCCGGCAGTCATGGTAGCAACAATCAAACGACAACTCATACGCTAGCCAGCAAACATAGTAATGGCAGTAGCAAGGATGGAGATGTTGTCAATGGAAAACGTGGTCTCGGCAGCCGGATGACCAATTCAAACAATAATCTCATCCATCATCATTATGAAGATTTACAAATGAATCCTATAACTGGAAATCTGGTTCCAACATCTGCACTTGTAAACAGTGCTAACCAAAGTGATAATAAATCTCCTTTACAAATGCAGCCAAATGGTAACAATACAACGGACAATCTTTATATTCACCGACACATAGAAGGAAATGAATTTGGCGCCATCAATATTACTGATTCGAATGGTCAAACAGGTAGGCATCACATGATCAATCATGTCCCAACACAATCATCATCACGAGGTTCATCGATTGCCAGTAGTAATGGTGCAAGTAAACTATCCAATACGGCCAATTTGATGAGAAATTCATTCAAAAAAGCTGTTAACAAATCTTAGAAAATCATATTTATAAAATAGTGCCTTTTTGCCTGTGCCCGTCCAAACCCGAGCATAATTGAGCCATTTTCATTTTTGTCAGTTTCATTTTTGTCAGTTTCATTTTTTTTTGTCCCTTTGTAACAATATTATTTTTTTTTCTTTTGTTTTTGTTTCATACGATTATTATAATAATTTTATGATTTATTTTTTAAAAATTGATTTTATCATTTTATCATCGTGTCTTTGTGGACCTTAATATAGTTTTTTTTAATCCATAGATGATGATTTATTTTTTTCAAATGATTTCTATATATTTTTTTTTTGATGATTAAACGATCGATTGATTGATTAACCAATGCTGTTTATTCTTGTCTGTCTGTCTCTGTATTGATCATGGTATGTATGATACAGATGCTGAACAATGTAACGATGGTTCAACTGGTCACGTATTTCTTAGCGATTCCGATGCTAGCCGTTCAAATCATGTTGATTATTCTGAACCAATCAATTCAACCAACGGTTCATTGAAATTGGGTCAATCGATAAAAATAAAATGAAATATTTTTGACAAAAAAAAATGTCAATTTAAATGTCAATGATCAATAGAAAAGTGCCATTGAATTCAACTCTATCAATTTTTAAAGTTTTTTTTTATTTTGAAATCAATATTGTTCATCTTTAATCAATCGAATGAATAAAACAATCAATTTGAATACTAAACAATACTGTCCATTTTTTTCTGTTTTATCAATGTTTGAATTCTTCAATTTGGCAGTTTTTTATAATGATTTTTTTTTTGAATATGATTTTTTTATTTTGTTTTCGCAATTTATTCACTGTAATTTTGTAACAATTTACGTCATATTTTTTTTTGTTAAATGGATGAAAAAATCAGGCCATATAAAACTGATACAGGTTATAGTATTTTCATGCTTGAATCGTCAGAATGATTTTTTTTTTTGTTTTTCAATAAGCAAATTGTCTCGAAATTCTATATATTCAAACGCATTGGAATTTCCACTTGTTTTTTTTCAGTTTGCAAGTGTAAATTGATAAGACAGTATATAATTCAAAAATTCGAGGTCATTTGGAAAAAAAAATTTCTTAGAATTATCATTAAACCACCTGTACCACCTGAATTCCAGAAAAAAACAGATGAAATATTTCATCATATTTATCAATAGCGAATGTTGATAACAACAACAACAACAAAAACAACAAAAAAAGTGGTGCCATTTCGATTGAATTGCAAACGTCATACATTCATTATCTCAATGATAATTTCAATGGAATTCTGTTTTTATTTCAGTGTTCTATATGAATTTTTAATGATTTTTTTTTCTCAAACAATCCTGAACAGCATTCGAAAATGGAATTTAAAAAAAAAGGAATGATGAAGTTTTTTTTTGTGGATAAATGTTGATGGAATCTCTCTCTCTCTCTATCTCTTGCTTTATGATGGTTATTTTCTCTTCTTTTTATTATCAACTCGTTTATCTTTGGAAAAAAATTTGTTTCTACTATTTGATTACCATCTGGAATGGTTGTTGTTGTTGTTGTTGTTGTCATGTGATCATGACATGTATGTTAATCTTTTTTTTTTCTTTTTTCATTTTCAAAAGAGTAAAATCGTTTTTCTTTTCAAGATCATCATCATCATCACAAACGAATCATTCAAATGAACATCAATGACCGCCAACACTAATCGTCAAACTTCGAACTTTATTAAATGAAAAAAAACCTTGAACCTGAAAAAGGGAATATAACCAGTCGTTGCTATCAAGTACCATACTGGTTGTTATCTGTATTACATGAATGCCAATTTTCTTTTTTAAAAAAATTCTTCACAAAACATGAAAAAGGATTTATTCATAACCTTTTAAAAAAAATGTTCATAATCAACCGTTTTAAGCTCGAAAAACGAAAAAGTTGGATGCACTAAAAAAAGATTTTTATAAAAAATTCTTTGTTGGTTGAAGGAATTATGAATCAAAAATAAAAAAAAATGTAAAAAATTTTTTGAACGAGCCAAAATTCTTTTAAGATTATAAATGCCATAATGCCATGATAATGACAAACAAGAAAACCAGTTGGTGAGGCGAATGAATTGTCTGCTTCTCTGTAATGCATTTTTGTTTTTTGTTTTTGGCTATCAGCCTAATGATGATGATGACATTCTTCCATATGTTTTTTCTTTTTTGACATTCTAAACAAAGTTCGGTTGTGATTGTTGATTAATAACAATCGAAACCTTGAGACAGTGATTTATTTATTTACTAATATACAGTCAGCCACTATACTATGTGAATGTTTTTTTGTTTTAGTAATTTGTTCGAATTACGTAAATAATAATGTCGGTCGGACGTTTGGTTTGTTTGTTTGTTCGATAGGAATCATTTCGAAGATACGATCGAATAGATTTGTTTTATAATCATTATTTTTACAAAACAAACGAAAAAAATTGGAAACAGGGTTGTCTCGAGAACATAACCTTGAAAAAAAATATTTATTTTTTTAATCGCCCAGAGAGATGGTTGTTCTTTTTCAATATCATGTTTTCGAAAATCATCATGTTTTATTGGTTTTTTTCTCTCTCTGTATTGAGGGAAACAAATTATTGAACCATTATTGAATGTTCATTTTTTTATTGGCAAAAAATAATAATGATATTATCGTTTCGTAATAGCCATTCAAATGAACATCAATAAAATTTAATTAATTACCATATTAGATTGATTAGATTAATATTAATCAAAATCATTTCAAAAAATGAATTTTGTTCAATTCAAATTAATTCAATTCAATTGATTTGGAACATTGATTGAAATAATGGCATTTTTTATTCATTACTGCACCAGACGATACTGGTTTTTTTTAACAATCAATATAGACGAGCTATTATGCATTATGTTCGCGTTCATTAGCCCGATTCTTTGATATATTCAAAATTCAAAACCTATTAGCTATTTCAATTTGATTGATAGCGTTTTTTTTTTGGTGGCTATTTTATTCAATCGATTTTTCTCTTGTTTTTTGTTTTGTTTGAATTTCTCTTCATGAATGATTCGAAAAAAAATTCATTTCGATCGATCGATGTGATCATCGACATGATTGAAAGGATTGCGATTGGTAATGCCTCGCAACCTGTTGATTCCATTTTTTATTACATTGCTTACAGGGGAAAAAAAGAGAGGAGACAAACAATGTAGATGTAATATTAGTTGCTCAACAACTTTGAATGATATATATCGCAATGGATAATTCAAAGAAATTGCATCTACAGACATACATTGAGAGATTTTTTTTTTTTAACTTTTATTCAACACATTGCGATTGAAAGAGTGGGAAAAAAAAGGCAGTGAAAAGTGAATTTTGTTTTTGTTTTTTTCAAATGATGATTATTGCATGCATGGCAAATAGCGCGCGTTAATTTTTCATTATTTGAAAATGGCCAAAATTTACTTTCATTCTTGATTTTGTTGCCGCTTTATATGATCAAAAAAATAATACCAAAAAGTGCAGCCTATTTTCTTTTCAGCTATTGAGTATATAAATGAACAAAAACATTCAACTGGTTGCATTCGTTTATCTGGACCATTCATGTTACGCCGGTCACATACACTAATAACACACACGCACGTGATACATCAACTTGTCTAAATTTAAATCTCAACGCCGGATTAAAATTAGAATCCATCGATTTCATTCTATAAACACATAAACAGTGCCTACCATTCCCGAAAAAAAATTCAACAAACATCTACAGAAAATCATTCTTTTTTTTACAAAAAAAAGCTCGAAATTCTCGAACCGTCAGTCTCTTATTACATCCTCTTTCTCTTGTTATTATCAAACAAGCAATTCACAAAAAAATATATATACTATCGAATCGTTGGTTTTAATGAATGAATGAATGAATGAAAAAAGGATTATCATCAATCAAATCAAATCGGAAATCAAATAATGTAACGACATTTATAACGATAAAATAGGAGACAGCAACAGCAACAATATTCAAATCACATTTCATATTTGTCATCAATGATAATAATAATTTTGCCACCACATCAATCAATCAATCATTATTTTACCACCGTGATTGCCCAATCAAACAAGCAACAACAAAAAAAAATCTTTGATTACGATTTGAATCGATTTGATTGATTGATTGATTTGATATTGAATATTTTTTTTCCTTATGATTCTCATTGATAACAAATCAAGACCAAAAACCAAAAACAAAACCAAAAAAATAAACATTGCTTCATTTGATTGAAATTTTTCAATGTTGTCATTTGATTTGTGTGACAAAAAAAAACTTTGACCCGAATTTTTTTACATTTATCAGCAAATACCATCAATCGATTGATTACTTTGTTCGGTTATCATTTTGGTTTGTGATACATTGGGTTTTTTCTTAAACAATAAGCCAACAGGTTAGTGTGTGTTGAATAAAAGTACATTTTTTACAGGGAAACGATTCCTTTGCAACAATTATCAAACATTTGTCACCACAACATGATTGCCGTACAATAAATTTTTATGTTTTTTTTTTTTGTATCGTCATATTATTATTATGGTGATTATGATGATGATAATGAAAGTTGTAAAGCGCAATTAACAAACTAATTTATCTAAATAAATTGTCTATTATTTATCTTAGGTAAGCAAAAAATTTTTGATACATGACAAAAGACACGTTAATCATGAATAGAATGGAATGTTTCAATAAAACTTATTGGATATTTCTTCGTTAGATTTTCTCACCTTTTTTTTGGTATGAAAAAATTTTTAGCTTATCGGATCTAATTTTGATTATTATAGACACATTAGTCTTATGATCTTGATAAAAGCAAACCAAACCAAAAAAAAAACGTAAACATAAACACAATTATCAATGAATCACAAGTTTTTTTCTTTCAATTCTGATTTTGTTTTTTTCTGTCATAAGTAACTGTACATTTACATATATGACAATATTTCCATTCATCCAACAAAAAAATTCATTATCGTCCAAATTAGATAAGTATGGTGCATTTTCTTCTTCTTTGAAATCGATGTAACAGTGTTGTTGTTTTACCATTGTGATATGCAAAAAAATTTTCCATAATTTTTTTTTTCTTCATAAAGTGTAAATGTAGTAAATAAGAAAAAATCAATAAATAATCTTGTCAATCGTTAACAGCAACAACAAAAAAAAATTGATGAATGAAATAAATCATTTGACGTCGTCGAATGTAAAATTTAACAACAAATTAGGAAATCATTAATTTATAATCAATTATTTATCACTTACATTACACCTACACATTTATATGGGCCGTTTTTTTTTAAATTTTCTGTCCACTACTTATATTCAAGACGATCATCATTATTATGACCATTATTAAATATGAAAAGCAATCGAATATCTTTTATAAATTAAATCATTCTCGTTAAATAATTCAAATTGTTTGTTTTTTTTAATTTATTTCATTACAGAAAATAATTATTCATCTGATAAGTGTTTGTTTGACATCAATTTCGTTCTGAAAAAAAATCTTATCTTGAAAAAAAAAATTATTATTCATAAAAAAATTTTCTATTCATTAAATGAATTTAATTCAATTTGTTCCAAGTGAACTATTTTTACAACCTATATTTTTATTGAAATTTTTCCCGGTGATACAAACAAATCATCATATCCATCATGACAACAGATGGCGCCCAAAGAGATCGTTTCAACAACAAAATTGAATATTTTTTAACCGCCCTTAGCTATGCAGTAGGATTAGGAAATGTTTGGAGGTATGTAATTTCCGCTATGATTTGTTTAATTTGTTAATTTTCTTTATTTTCATGTTTAATTTGTACAGATTTCCGTATCTTTGTTACAAAAATGGTGGTGGTTCATTTTTGATACCATACATGGCAAGTCTGTTGATTTTAGGTTTACCATTTTTCTTTTTCGAATCTTCAATCGGCCAATTCACTAGTCTTGGTCCTATCAAGGGTAATGATAAAAATGACGACATAAATAACGATAACGATTAATGTTGTGTAATATTCTGTTTGATTAGTATGGAGATTATCGCCATTGTTCAAAGGAATCGGTTATGCCATGTTCATAATGGGTGCCTATGTTGGAATCTATTACAATGTTGTGGTAGCATGGTCATTTTATTATGTCTATTCAGCATTAACTCATATCAATTCTGAGTCGGTTCCTTGGGCATATTGCAACAATGAATGGAATACTGTGGAATGTGCTGATGGTATCACTAGCAATGTAACTGATGGTAAACAAACAAGTCCAAGTCAGGAATTTTTCTAGTAAGTTATATATGGCTGGACATAAGGAATAATTTAAAACTTAAACATTGTTTATTCAATAGTCATAAGGTTTTACATCTAAGTGATGGTATTGATGAAATGGGAGCTTTACGTCCACATTTGGTTTTGTGTTTGGCATTAGCTTGGATGTTTATATATTGTGGTCTTTGTTTAGGAACAAAAAGTTTAGGCAAAGTTTCTTATTTCACAGCCTGTTTTCCTTACATCATGATCACTGCATTGCTTATTAATGGTCTTCAATTAGAAGGATCATATGAAGGAATTATCCATTATATAAGTCCCAATTTTGAAAAGTTAAGTGACATTGGTGTTTGGTCGGATGCTGCCACACAAATTTTTTATTCATTGTCCATCTGTATGGGTGGTGTTATCACATTGGCTAGCTATAATAACTTTAAAAACAATTTATTTCAGTAAGTTAATGAACTGAACAATTGCTGCCAAATAGCTATTTTATTATTAAAATGTAAAATTTTTTCTAGGGATTCAATTTTGATTGTCATTAGCAATTCTTTAACTAGTGTCTATGCCGGTAAGTTACATATATTTTGAGATTAACATATTAATCATGAATAATTTCTTCTTATAACATTCAAAGGATTCGCTATTTTTGCCGTGATTGGATTTATGGCTAATCAACTTGGAAAATCAGTAGGTGAAGCTGCAGATCAAGGTATGGATCTATTATCATAAATAATTTTCTTATTAACAATTCTTTTGTTTGAATAGGTGTTGGTCTTGCTTTTGTCGCCTATCCGGCTGCTCTTGCCCGATTGCCATATCCTTCAATCTGGTCATTCATTTTTTTCCTTATGATCATAACGCTTGGATTTGGATCTCAAATGACTATAGTAGAGACAACAGTTTCTACTTTAGTCGATTTTTGGCCAAATAAATTACAGAAAAGAAAGCCAATTGTTTTGGGATTCGTTTGTTTGGTCATGTTTTTGGCCGGTTTGCCTATGTGTACTGGGGTAAGTTAGTAAAACAACTTTTCACCATTTTATACTCATTTTGTTCGTTAAACTTTAGGCTGGTTTATACATTCTACAATTGATGGATACTTATTCGGTTCCTTATTCGGCTTTTTTTATTGCCATTTTCGAATTGGTTGCTATATTTTGGGTGTATGGTTTAGATATTCACATGAAAAATATCTATCAAATGATTGGATATAAAATCTGGCCTCAATTTTACTGGCGATTCATGTTCAAATATGGCTGCCCATCTCTGATCTGTTTAATGTTGGCCGTTGTCATCTTAAGACATGAACCATTGACGTACAATGATTATGTTTTTCCTGAATATTCCGAATACGTTGGTTGGGCATTGACCGCCTCTTCCGTGTTGTTGATTCCTTTATTTGCCATTCTTGAATTCATTAAAGTACTGAGAAAGCGAAAGACAATGCAGGTAAATTCTATGCAAATAATAGATATTTTTCAGTATTTCATATCTCAATTATACTTATTACAGGAAATTTTAAGGCCTGAAGTCAAATTTGGTAGCGACCTTGCACCATCCGATCGATCGGATAAATCATTTGATTCGATTAGCTCTATTGCCAAAAGTTTTCCAGAAGATCTAAATACCAGTGGTCAAGATAATTATGCATTTTTGCAATGTCATGAAAATTTTCGCCGAAATTTGAGCCATATTGCCAATTTTGAAGACAACAGTAAAAACAATGCCAAACTACTTAACTTTACGTCATTATCAACCTGGACATGTGGTAATAATAGTGTATCTAATTTACATGAAAATAAGAAGATGCCTAGTCTACAGAATGTATTTCAACAGGAAGCCTAATTTTTTTTCCCTGGATATGATTCCAATTAATTTGGATAGTGAATTGTCAATTGTATTAGCATCATTTATTTAAATTCCTATCTTTACTATATGAGTATTTAAAAATATTTTTAAATCTCAAATTCAATTAAATCATATCTATCTATGCATTTATGAAGGAACGCGTGATCATCAGCAAATTTTTCAAAATATTTTTCTCTTTATCTCTTTCTTTTTTTTGAATAAAATCAATTTGTTTTCATTATTATTTTCATATCGTAATTTAAAAATTGAGAAAATTTTCAATTGGTTTCGAGATTGCAAATTCCCTTGATTGATACTTGCGAGGTATCAATTTGGTAATATTCCCGAAGCGACAGCATCACCATCATCATCATAGCTCTCGCCGATTGTTTACCTTTCATTTTTCATTTTACATTGTTTGTAATTGTTTTCAAGTGTGTCGTGGATTTGATTGTCATATGGAATCGAGAGGAAAATGTCACGCTTAAATAAAAACCAAATCAAAGCGACAAATCAAACGGTAAATGAATTGTGTTTGATGCAGAAAATCACACTTTATTTTCATGACATTTTCCAGTCGATTGTTAGTTATGAAGACGATGATTGTGAGGACATTGCTTTAAACCAAAGACATTCGATGTCGAGTGGAAAACGACGATCGGAACAGCACGCACCAAGGCCAGAATATAGTAGTCATATAGAACGTGGTAAGTAACTCATAGGGCTAATTGCCTTTGTCGTTTGTTCTTGTTGCAATGAGAGAATAACTTTTCAGATGATCATAGTCATAATGATGATGGATATAAAAAAAATTATAGCCATCATGGCTCATCTCATCACTATAATAATGACCATCGAAGCCATGATCGATCCTCTTCATCGTCAAGAAATCGTCACCGATCCTCACGAACAAATAGAGATAATTCAATTAATAAATTAAGAGAAAGAAGTGAATCTCCAGATACTAGCCACCACCACCACCGCAACAAACGGGAACTTGAGTCCCGACACAAGCATGGCGGTAATTGTCGTAAGTCAAAACGTGATCGATCTCCTCATCACCATCATCATCAGCATACTCGAACACGGTCGACTCAAGAGTCATCCATGACAGATCATAGCAGCAAGGGAAGGCATCATTATGAATACCATAGTAGCCATCGTTCAAACCGTAGTCATGATGCAGATAGAAGAAAGGAACAATTTTCGAAACCCAAAGAATCTAAACTTGATACTAGTACTAGCAGCAGTAAACATTCGATTGTTGAATGCAACAAATCGGACATTCAAAAATCAGTTGATTCTTTGGAGGTAATTTCAAATCAGGTACCAACCACAACGAATACTAAACCAAAAGGACCACCAGCCGCAGTTTTAGCATCAGTTGCTGCTGTCATGGCCTCTATTAAAGCACAACAGCCATCAGAATCAGTATTGAATCGCATTTCAATTCAACAGCCAAATTCATTACAGCCCACCGATATTCCCAAATATTATAATGCGAAAATGGTGAATGCAGCCAAACTAGCTCAACAGGCTGAAAAACGTAAACTTTTGTGGGGTGATAACAAAAGTTCAGCTAACGAAAAGGTAATTAATGATGAGTTACATTTTTTTCATTATTTCGAACATTGGTTGTTTGATTTCAGGTTAAACCTTCATCGACAACATCAGCCAACGTATGGACGAATCTTAAATTTCAAGGTGAACATGGTATGGCAATGACGGAAAAGTTTCGTAAACTGATGGGAATTAAAACAGCAGACACCTCGAATCAACAACAATTACTATCATCAATTCAAGATGATGTTAAGGATAGCAATCATCATAATGAAGATATTGTTGTAGCTAACCAAGAGAAACTTTTCGAAAACCTAGATCAACAATATTCTATTGCACGTCGATCTACACATTTGGCACGTGGAGTTGGTTTGGGCTTCACGGCTGCAGGAATGTCCACTTCGTTTCAGCGAAATTATGACGAAAACGACAAGTAGTCAACATCGTTTGTTAACAAATATCTTAACTTCCCTGAAATAATTTTCATAGTAATAAATAAATAAATTCAAACTATGCCAATAAGCAATAATAACCTTGTATTTGTACAATGAACCGCGATATGCGCCTGACTCATTCTTCATATAAAGGTCAGGATTGTCATTATTGAGCAAATTCTAGTCATCTCTGGAATCTTAAATTAGCGAAGTATTTTTGTTTCCATCATTAAATGGCCATCATGCTTAATCATCACTATAATGGGGTAACAGAATAGCTAATTAACGTGAAATGAAATGCAAAAAGAATGCTAATGAATGAACGGAATGTGGATGCGTAAGTGGAAACAGATTCCTTGAAAATGCATATTATTAAAAGCAATATAATTAACGCAAGTGGTGAATACTGGATACAACCTGTGCACCGCTTGGTCATGTTAGTTTGTATATGATTATAAGCCATTCTTTATACAAACATTGAATAAATGCCCACTCTACCACTGTCATTGGGCAATAATTAGGTCGAATCCTCGATCCATTCAATCGAGGCGCATTATTATTATTATTATTATTATTATTATTCGATTCGGGCATTGACTGCTGATGTTCATGCATGTTCTCCTTTTTTTTCATCACTCATCGGCCATCGAGCTTCCAACTTGTAGTGAACTTTTGTTTCATCGTCAAAAAAATGTCTTTCGTTTTGCCTTTGCTACATCAAATGGCAATGTTTGCCATGACGATGTGGATACGTGTTTTTTCTGTGTAATTAAACGTTCATTGACATCTTTCGACTCGCGTTATCTATCTAAAATTTGATACAATTTCTCAATCACATTTACCAAGTAATTGAGCCATGGAACCATATTTAGATGTAATCCATCGAATGGAATCGAAAAAATCTGACATTAGTCGGATCACCAGATTACTGACATAGAACAATTGAATTGTAAACCTGAACATACCTCCACATTTGGTTAGTTTGATCAGGTTTCAGTGGAAATCGCCACGAGAGAGCCATTTATGACCACTTTCTCTTTTTATTTAGCTACCTGTACACAGCTAAATTATTATCGAAGGTCATCCATGAACCAGTCATAAATTGTTGGATAGCAACAAGTCGACTCCAATTCAGAGTTCACTGAACTCGTATGTGCTAATGACTACCACATGTGTACAGAGAAAGTCACAAATCGCATATCTTTAATTCATGATCGACTCGTGGATGCCTTAATCCAACATGGACAACAATCTAATTTTTTCGAAAAAAAAAAAATTTTTATCAGAATGTTCCATTGCATATGATTTTATTCATTTACAAAATAAATCACTGATGATTGGAAATAAATTTTTAAACATTGAACAGTGAATCTAAATGGTAAATTAACATGTGCTTACCTGTACACAAAGATTTTCCATTTATTTTCTCTATGGAACATCGTAATCACAATCGTTTCAGTGCAAGCATACATATGTGTGAGCAGTATTCGATTGTATATGATGACGTTTGGATCGTTTATAGAGAGAATATTAATTAGCATGAATACTGCGGACAATGACCGAAAGTGACCACCATATTAAATATTTGCTAATTTATATCGAATCGAAGTTCAGGAATCTACATGCATGATACATACATTTGTCCTCCGCATCCGAACAGTTAATACGTACATGGACGTCCATGAACAATCTTTTTTTTCTTTCTTTCTTTCAATGCAATCCACATTCGATATGTTGTGAATTTGAATGACGATTCCAGTTAGGAATTAATGAACAAACATATGGATGAGGCTAATCATTATGATCAGAACGATTAAATCGATGGCCAGGTAACCAGATTTATATCGATATAATCCATCTTTTTCCTGATTCGATGCTTGACAAACGACGAAACTTCAAACTTAAGAAATACAAAATAACTGTTGCTGTGATTGATTAAGCATGGCAAATAAATACATAGAAAAGTTCAACGACCTATAACTGAACTGCCTCTTTCTCTCAGTCAGTCAGTCAGTCAATGAACACATCCACAATTTGCAACAAGCATCGTTGTTTATCTTTATCCAAAACACTTGTATTTAACTTGTTGCTGCTGGATCGATCCAGAAACTAGACATGCTGAGAGACATAACAATAAAAAAAACAACAACAAGGATCGATAAAGGTGAAAGAACTTATTCGTTCATTCGTTGGATCGAATACAATCGATGATGGCCGATATCATATTAAAACATCAAAACGGTAGAGCCGAAACCTTGACCTGATAGATGGAATGAATGAATGAATGAATGGTCAACTTGGATCCACAATTTGATCAAGTGTTAATGAACTTGAGTCGAGTGGCGTTTTTCATTCTTTTTGACTATATCGGCGAATATTGTCGGAACAAACCATACAAACAAATACAAATACTAATCTTTTCATGAATCAATCAATTGTTTTGTCTGTGGAAACCGTCTGGTGACTGACACCAGACTTGACTAATCAATCTATCTTGAAATCAATGCATGATGGAACATTTGGCTATAATAATTTTGTTGTATACTAGGATTTGGCAATCAAAGTATTTCTGTGCTTATGTGGACACATGTTCCGAAAAAGCAAAATTCAAAACTTGCGCAGGTGAAAAAGGCGCGCACTACACAACATTTTTATTTTGCATTTTGTATGTCGAAACTTGCTGTTCGAGGGGCATCCTCATCGTTCATTGAATAGATAATGATTACAGTTCAACGACCTATGAATGACTGTTGTATACATATGATGACCTCGGTTCGGCCATAATGGTGATGGCCGGTCACTGCATTCTGCCACAAAAAATAAAAATAAAGAAATAAAAGAGACGATAATAAAAAAAAACTAGGAAATGGATCACTATAGAAAAACACTACACTCAGATGTATAAACATGAAAACTACTTGTAAAATACCCGATGATAGTAGTCGGGTATTATCGGAAATAAATTTACATAAATTTATTTCAACAAAAGTAACAAATCCGTTATCGGTTTAGGTTGACACGTGTTTATCCTGGTTGGATTGTGATCAGCTGATCAATTGTAATCATTGAAATCTATACATAGTAATAAATATATTCACATTTACATACGGGGAGGATCATAAATGTTTTCACCCGCCCAACACTATACAATCATATTGATTTACGAAGGTCCTCGATGTTGGATGTTTCCGCCGCCAAAAAGACGGCCAAATACTTGTGACACACATGTGTCGAAGTGGGCAGAGGCTACTTATAAATTTACTAATAAATTTGCTACAGTAAAAGAAGTATATTGATGGGAATGTATTATATACACAGGTAATGACAGCAGCTACTGTGGCCAGTGGTTTGTAGCTAATATAAAAGGAGAACCGCCAACTTGGTCAACATTTCATTTAGTCATTGGCTAACCATCACTAAGTCATATTATCATTTTCCATAAATCTATCAATCGATTGGAATCTTCATCTCATCTCTAATCAATTATCGTTCATATTTTCTGTATAGATTCGTGGTTATGCTGGTCTGGTGTTAACCGATAGTCATGCATTCACTTTGATCATATCCATCAAGATATTTACAAACCGTCCCATTCTATAATCGAGAATCCGGTTCTTAGCCTGTACATCCGCTAGTAATTCTATACCTGGTAGACCTTGTTCGTATCCAAAGTAAAACAATGATTTTCGAACAAATCGTCGACAATGTCTGCCCTTTGGTCGTGGTACGCATAGCACTTATCACTTTGATTGTGTGTTTGCTGTGCAAGCTTTATTTTACGGGTAGTCGTTTGCCTCTTCCGCCAGGTCCATATGGCATACCCATATTGGGCTATTTGCCATTTGTTGGCCATGATTTCCATTTGCGTCTTACTGAATTGGGCAAAAAATATGGCTCTATATACCAGATTCATCTTGGAACCAAACGAGTCGTAGTCATTAACGATGCTCGCTTAATCAAAGAGGCATTTCGTCAGCAAGTCTTCTCTGGTCGACCGGACACTGAATTGACTCGTATTCTTCAAGGCTATGGTGAGTTATTAATTTGCATACAATCAATCATTTTTTACAGTTTTTATGCACACACACAGGTATCGTCAACACTGATGGTGCATTGTGGAAAGAACAACGAGCTTTTTTGCATTCAGTACTTCGTAAATTGGGAGCCAAAAGTATGATTTTGGGACGCGATTGTTTGGAACTTAAAATAAGAGTAAGTGCCAAATGTTCATTAGTGATGAGAATCGAAATATCATTGTTATCATTAACTAGTCTCAAGTGCAGATATTCCTCAATGATCTCAAAAGTACGATTCGCAATAAACAGTCGTCGATAAATATCCGGCCATATCTAGCCTGTGCAGCATCTAATGTGATAGGGTCACTATTGATGAGCATGACGTTCAAAAGTTCGGATCGTAAATTTCGCCGAATTATCGAATTAATGGAAGAAGGATTCCGTTTGTTTGCTATCGCTATGCCGGTCAATTTTTTCCCATTGTTTCGGTTTGTTCCATTGGTCAATTATGCTTATCGCAAGATGCAAACTAATCGCGATGAAACTAGTGGCTATTTTCATGAAATTGTCGAAGAACACCGTCAAACGTTAGATCCGGAACATATTCGTGATTTTGTAGATGCCTATTTAGTTCAACATGACCGTATTAAAGAATCGGGGCAAGATTCATTTTTTTCCGAAAAACAACTGATACAGGTGATGAACGATATATTCAGTGCTGGACTTGAAAATGTTACCAGTACGATCGAATGGGCCGTTCTTTTTTTGATGCTTAATCCAAAAATTCAACAACAAATCCAAACCGAAATTGACCAGGTGATTGGTCAAGGTAAGGAGGCAAAATTGGCTGATCTCGAGCAAATGCCTTATATGGAGGCTACATTTTGGGAAATTCTTCGCCGCAGTAACATAGTTGCATTAGGGAATACACATAGTACTTTGGAGTAAGTAAGCAATTCTGTTTGCAATTGCATCTTTAATACCTGTATTTTAATTTGTAGAGATTCCTCGCTGGCCGGATACTCAATCCCAGCCACGACAAATATTCTTCCGAATCTATATGCGATCAACATGGATCCTGAATTATGGGAAAATCCGGAAGAATTTAATCCGGATCGTTTTCTCCGAAATGGTCGTGTCCATAGGCCAGAATATTTTATTCCATTTTCTGTTGGTAAGTTTTAACTCGAAGCAAATGGCTAATTCAAATTGACTTTAAATGTTTTATTGTTAATTCGAATAGGTCGACGAATGTGCCTTGGCGATATATTGACCAAAATGGAAGTGTTTCTATTTCTAACCAGTTTATTGCAACAATTCGATTTAAAAGTTCCAGATGGAGAACGACCACCTGAAGTTGCTAGCATCGTATCGGCATCTATGGCACCCAGGCCATTTAAAGTTTCTCTTGTCGAAAGATCAAACGGTTCTATGTTCAAATGATCAATTACCATCAAAATGACCCACCAACCCATGGATGTTCTTTCAAATTTAGTTATATAACAAATTATTATTATCATTATATTATCAATAAATTATTGATTATTAATTATGCATCCCTGTTTTAATTATTATTTCATTATACAATATCGATCAATGTAGCTTCAAAGTACAGAATGGGCTATGGTTTTGTGTCGAGAGGATAATTTTTCAGCTAAAAGTAGTTCACCGGTATTGCTTAAAGTAGTCCATGTAAATGCATTGTGTAGAGGTGAATCCGGATGTTTACAATGAACTAACAACGTTAGACATAGACCATCATATTGATCACTATGATTAGCAATATCATGCTCGATAGCAATTAATCCAACTGGTTTATGCGGTGGAACTAATGAACTGTTCGAAATGCCATCATTTCCACCGAATATATACTGTCACGAAAAAAAATCAATGTCAATTTTTTAGCTTCTGAATAGAATTTTTTTCGATGTATACCTGCATGAAGCGTTTTAGCGTAGAATGTACACTTCGAGTGGGATTAAGTTGACAAATGGGTAAATGTGGTGACAATGAATGGGCAATGATTACTCGATGTTTGTTTCTATGCGAAAAGTCTTAAACATTAATACTACAATTGGGCAATAAAGGATAAGCTTACATTTTTTGGTCCCAGACTGCTACTACCAATCGCAAATATAGATTGGGAACATAACGTTTGCAAATCAATTGCGGCAAATGCCATGATTGTCCATTACGATAATAGTCACGGGCAAATTCAATCAAAGGTAGACAATCTCGAGATCGCAATGCTAGATTATCAACATCATTCACATAGCAAGCTTGAAGTGATTGTTCATCCGCTTTTGAAGCAGTTTTTAACTGACCACCAGTGATTCGTCCTGTGTACACAAAACGAAACCAATTGCCATGCGACGATTCCACTTTTATAATGGAAATAGGCTCGAAACAAAGACCAGATTCGGCTAATACGGCACGTTCAATGGCAGTTTCAAGTAGTTCTGTAGGTTGGACACGACCAGCAGGTAGGTACCAACTGCCAGCACATGCCGACCTAGCCTCTTGTATCATAAGTACTTCTTGTTGTTCATTGAAAATGATCGCCGTGACAATAAAAGTTACATTCAAGCCGATTTTGGGTCCAAATTCATTGGAAACTTTAGGATCGATTCCACGAGCAACTATGAATGAAAGATATTCGCTAATGATAATGAAATGTTAGTAACATTAACTTACTTGATTCATCGTTTTGTTGTCTGAGCGTATAATCTACTTGTAAAAATTCTTTATCAAGATTGTCGGTGATTATTCCATTAAGAATGGATTCAATTTTGTTGATTTGTGAATCAATCGATTCGATTGATGATGAGCCCATTTTATGAAAAATGAACTACAAAAAGATGACAACAATCAATACATTTGAATTTATTTGACACCCACATGAATAAATTAAATGATGATTTGGCAATAGTTCTGCTGTCATCCAAACATCAATACTAGCATCTTTTCAAGAAAAAAAGGTAAAGAGAGAAAATAAGGAGAAATGTAGAAAAAGAGAAAAAGATGAAAACTCATTCATCCAAGACAACAATGGTCAACAAGCGAAAAAGCAATACAAGTGGAAATTATCCGAACAATCCGGTTTTGTTTGTTAAACATGCAATCATTTTAAATAGCCATAACTTTGTGATGATTAGCATCTTTTTTTTCTTGTTTACTTAAGAATCATGATAAAAAGGTCAGAAAAGAATCCTTAGGATTTTTGGAATTCAAGCCGGATATTCGAATAATTGCCATGTTACAAAAAATGAGTTCGATTTTTGTTGTAACAGTGTATAATGATGACTCCTGTTTGTTATGATTGGATGCGTGCTTTTTTCTTGATTTCGGGAGCCTTGATTTATCAATCCGAAGCTATGACGGGCTAATTTAGTCATTTAATACAAAAAATAATTATTATTATTTTCCATTTGTTCGATGACTAAGTGAATTTTGCTTATTGCTTCACTAAGTCAAATCATTAACCAGCTTTAGGATTGTATGAAAAAAATCTTTTATTGATCAGAATGGCCCTCATTAATGCTCGTGATTTACATAAGGTGTGCCATCCGCATTACCTGATTAACATTTTATTGGCCTTTTCGTTTCTTTTTCTCAAATTGGTACCTCCGTTTTGTAGTTATCTGTTTAAAGAATGTCAGCTAGAACACGTATGTTTTCCAATTATTATCCAAAATACTATTGACTGATCTAAACTTTCTAAACATAGCGCGACACAGAGATTCTTTTCTTTACCATCATTATAATTATGTTCCGAACTCGCAAACAAGGCAATGTCACCTTTCTGCCTTATTTGTCATCCGCCTGCATGCTAATGAAACTTGGTAACATTCTGCTCTATTTTAACGCTGGTCCTCTTTATGGTATCGTTTTTGGTTGCTGTTGTCTCCGTAAGTTACAATGTTGCTTTATCCATTTTATATTTTGTTCTAACAATCTTACAGTTCAAATGTTACTTTTACCTGAGCCAACTTATCAAGGACCGGAAAACATTGCCTACATGAAAGGAGAAGATCTTGAAGAGGAAATTGGCCGCGACAAACGTGTTGTTTGGCTAGTTGAACTTTATGCCGCTTGGTCACCGCCTTGCGTCGACTTTGCTAATATTTTCGGTGAATTGTCTAACAAATATTCATTGAACAATTTTCGTTTCGCTAAAGTTGATCTGGCCCGTAATCCTGATACGGCCACCAAATACAAGATTAACATTTCGACTTTGAGTAAACAATTGCCCACAGTCTTATTGTTTATGAATGGTCGTGAAACTATGAGACGTCCATTGGTTAATGAAAAAGGCAAATTAGTTCCATTTGCTTTTACATTCGTAAGTATCTATAGATATATTTTTTACAAAATCTGAACTAGATTATTATTATTTTTTTGCTTATTTTAGGACAATGTGGTAATGGAATATGATTTGGATCAGATCTATGAACAATGTCGAAACAATTCTTCAACTACATCTTCCAGTTCTAAAGATGAACTCAAAAAGAACAAATAGCATAAAAAATTAGATTAAGCTTGTAAATAACGATCATTTTCCATTTACCATCCGATGCAAATTGTTTTGTTGTTTTAAATAAAAATATGATATATTCATTGATCGATTTAATTTTCGAAGACTTTTTTAAAGACAAGATAAACCCAAAAGATGGCGTACCGAACGTTTTTTTTGTATGTGGAATATCTGTGTGCGCTCAATTTTTAATGATAGAATCTTAAAAGGAAGAAAAAAAAAACACATGCATGCGAAATCATAAAAAAAGTGTTTGGATGTGTGTGTGACACGTCTACTTATATAAAAATAAAAAGTGCGTTGTTTATTTGTCGTGTGATCATCATTTAGTTTACAATTAAATTGATTTCGTAATTGTTTGTTATTTGTTTCGTTATTGTTTTTGTTTGTTTTTGATCATGTCGGACGCAAGTGATCCTGAGAAGAATCAATCGATACTGAAAGCTGGCCATCCACCAGCTGGTAAGTATTGTCCATCGTTTCGTATACTAAATTATTTTTCCATGCAATTGTGTTATATGTCCGGAAAATAGTAAAAGTTTCAGGTGGAGTAAGAATTACTCAACATAAATCGCCAACGGAAAAGCCAACACCTGTTAAAAATCAGGATGATAAAAATGAGGAAGAAGAAGGTGAACAACCGCTACCAGAATCACCACCGAAACCTATGATTACGTCCGTATCTGGTGCACCAGTTCGTGTAAGTTTTTATTAATTCTTTTTTCGAATTTTTCATTGGAATAACATAATTTGATTTATAAACTTTGATAGGGCAATGAGGATTTTCCAGCAGATTCGGTACGTGCATATCATGATAAGAAACCAATGCCAACAAATGAATGTCGTCCGATGAATAAAACTAATCATTTCATACATCAACCGAAAAAATGATTTCAATTGCAATTCAAATATATGGACCAGTGACCAAATTCTATCTTTATTTTTTTATTTTTTCCTTTGTAATGTTATGATTTGATTTGGTTAAATAAATAAAATTTTTTTTGGCATTCCAGTAAATTTCATTTGAAACTTTGTAATACTTTGCTCACTAAGCGATAGAAATACGAAGATGATGATGATGGCCTCGACGAAAACCACAAATGTGGCAGACAGACCACCCTAATCGGATTGATGATTAATAATTAGCGCCGCAGGCAACCAAGGTCGATTGCTTTGGTCGGCATTTGAATTGGCTGGCGGTACATTCCTAAGTCGATGATCGAAGTAATCATGGTCATCGGCTGCAATATTATTTGATGAATTTTTAAGAGTATTTGTGTGTGTGTGTGCTAGAAGGTGAGCTTAGTGGTCACTTGGTCTAACTAAAAAAGAGATGATAATTGGATGAGCTATGCATTCTGATCGACGACCTGTTTCGAACGCGCACCTGCTTCAGATTTGTTCATTCGTCAGGTTGATCGATTCAGGTAAACTTTCGTTTTCCTTCATTAGCATTCATCCATAGACAGCAAATATTTTCATCATTCACATTGAGACATTGATTTTGTCGTATGTTTGTGTAAATAATACAAAAATCAGCTTGACCACAAAGATGGCAATTACAATCGAATCATTTAAATGGATATTGATAATTTTGATTTGGCTATTATGCAATACAACATTCATAGCCAATAATGAAGATAGTACTCAAACATTACTTATTGGCAATAGAATTGGTTGTGATCAGGAAGGACAAATTGTAGAAATACCTTTCATTCGAATGACTGATCCATGTATTGTATGTATGTGTCGTAATTCAGTTATCGATTGTTACCGTTATGATCGCAACAGCACCGTTTGTACTTCATCAAAATTGCCTTTAACGAATAATAATGATAAGGATTGTTATCACTATACTCAACAAATCAAATCAAATCCAGAATCAAATCGTACAGAGGATGTTTGTTGTGCACGAAAAATGTGTCTGACTTGCAGGTAATTTATAAATATCCACAGAAAATAATCAACAAATAAATGATGATAATTGTGGTTTTTAGAATTGGCGATCGAATCATTGCAAATGGACAAACTGTACAGGATCATCATATATGCCAATCACATCATTGTCATGTAAGTCATTTCAAGTTTTTTCATTTGTGAACAAATTAGGATTTTTCCTACTTTTAGTCGGGAACATTAACTTCATCGAAAATGGAATGTTATGTTCCATGTGATCGTCCAATACGATTTTTGGGACAATGTTGTCCATCATGTAATGCTTGTCCACGTAATGTACCAGATGGTAATGAAGTTGATCCACTGTTAAAAGGTAATCAATATGATCCATGTGTACGATGTTATTGTTTCAAAGGACAGATGATTTGTCATCGTCGTGTTTGTCCAGTATTACCTTGTCCACGTTCAGAATGGATCAAAAAATCAGAATGTTGTCCAATTTGTCGATCATCAAAATCATCGCAAGTTATACAATTATTCAATAGTTCCTGTATTATGGGTGAAAAACGATATGAACATTTACAATCATTTAATTATGATTCGTGCACAGATTGTGTATGCAAGGTTTGTTAAACATCCACATTAATAAACAACCCATAATATTATCTAAGTTATTTGAAAGAACGGAACCAATATTTGTAATCGACGATCTTGTTCGACCAACGATGAAACAGTGACAAAAATGGAAGAAAAAATCACAAAGGAAAATTCTAATCAATCAATACGATGCATGGATACAATGAACGAAAACCTCTCATGTACTACACAATCGAGTTTGATCAAATTGGTTTGTCCTAATGGACAAAATATTAAAGTTAAACGTAATGGTGAAAAGACCTGTGTTCCAAATAATGATGAGGATGGTCATTGTTATGTTAACGATTCATGGAACAACATAACTACTTTGGATGGTTATAATTATCGATTAAATAGTCATGATCGGAAAATGAGAGATGGTCGTCTTTGCAATCGTATATTGGCCAAAGATAGTAATGGACGTCGATTTTCATTGCATCTATTACATCGATATCGTCGCCATTCAAAACAACATAATGAATCGGCTAAGTATTTAGGAGCTTCGTTGCTATTATGGATCGAAAATACTCGAATACTTTTGAGCCATAGTGAAACAGTTAATCGTGTTCGTGTGAATCGCAAACCAGCACAGCTTCCATACATTCATATGGGACAATTTTCGATTGTAAAAGATAAAGAAAATAATGGAATTCGTTTACATGCTTTAATTGGAATCGATTTATGGTGGCAACCTAATCGATCAATTGAAATTCATTTAAAAAATCATTTTCAAAAGAATATTTTTGGTTTATGTGGTGATTTTAATGGTGATCCAACAAACGATAAACAACAAGCAAAAGACATTGCCTATGGTTGTCAAAGAAAACGAATGAAATCGTTAAAAAGTCATCATCATCAAGATGAATATTTATTCGAACATAGTTGTCGACCAGAAAAAAGAGATTCTGTTCGTAAATTTTGCGATCGAATAATTCGAAGATATCATCAACAATTATTATGTCGACCAAAAGAATTACGTAAAACGTATGAACAATGTTTACAAAATGTATGCCATTGTTATGGTGGTCATCATGGTGATGATCGTCAATGTCTTTGTTATGCTATGCAATATTTTTTGGATTCTTGCCATTCGGAAACTTCGGATATTATAAATAATCGAACATTATCGAAATCTGAATTACGAATTCCTATGTGCAAACGTAAGTTTATTTTTTAATTTACCAAAAAAAAAACTATTGTCATTTTTATTGTCAACTTGTATAGCACTAAAATGTCCACCCGGTTCGGAATTCAATTTCTGTGGTAATGAATGTCGAAAAAAAACCTGTTCACAACAATTCGAACAAAAAGTAATAATGAATCCATTATTAAACTGTAATGAATGTATACCAGGATGTGAATGTATTGGTAATCGACGTTGGCATAATGGTTTTTGCATACCGGAAATGATGTGTCCTTTAAATGTTCATCAATAATAATAATTTTTTTTGTCTTAATTTACCTAGTCAATTAAAAATTCTATTAAAATCTTATTATGATAAAGACAATTAATTTAAGATGAAATTTTTTCGCGCGCATTCTAAATTGAGTTGAATCGGCCTTATAACGAATATATTCACCGAATCGAATAAAAGCGATTTCGACGCAACGCCGATTTTTTTTTTAGCGAAGGTGTTGTCACCACACACAAAAAAAAAAGAGTGATGAGAGGGAGAAAGAGAGAGGTGTGTATTGAAGAAACAGTGAACAACAATGAAGGAGAAGTAGCACCAAAAACGAGCCTTGCATTCAGGACAAAGCAGCAAAATTTACTTTACCGTTTTATCTAAATTGACAACTATACTTGCGATTAAGTGTATAACGCGTACATTCATAAATTAAATGTACACAGATATCTGAATATAAATGAGAAACAATTGTTGTGATAAAAATTGAGAAAACATGGTAGATCCTTATGCGCGTACGCATCAACCGATAGTGTTTGTTAATTTGTGTGTGGTTGTCTGTCACTGTGTTTCTGCCTTTGCTCGCATTGGTTCGAGCTATTCTCTTTTGTCGCTTGTGTATTTTTTTTTTGTGTGTTTTTTTGTCGATCGAATTGTTTGGTTGTCCACACATTGGGCTTTGTCTAACTTAATTTGGGCCCTTCATTCCAAAGAATTTGATTACCAAATTTAATAGTGATTGTTTGGAAATTGAATTGCTGACCACAAATAACAGTGCAAACGAAACCAAGTCAATAGTCAATTTGAGTGATTACCACGATGAGTGACGATCGCACTGATCCGTATGGTCAACAAAAACAATCACAGCGCTATAAACGACAAAGAACCGCATCGGCAACAGAAACGTCATCATCGTCGAATTTGAATCAAGAAACCGGAGGTGGTTCTGCTAATATGTCAGCTACCCCTTCAGCATCAACATCTGGATCTCGAACTACTCGAACAACAATGGCCACGACCAATAATCATCATCAAAACCATAATCATAACTCTACCACATCCACATCATCATCATCATCATCCAATAATGATAGTTCAGGAACGGCGAGCATTAAACAGAATGGCGATAGTGCCAAGGACGGCAATAGTAATAAAACAAAGCCGTTGACTAAGGCACTAAGTACAAGTGCCAAAAGGTTTGGTCCTCATTCTTCTTGTTTGATTCAGATTCTCTAATTGCTTTGTATTCTAGGATACAGAAGGAGCTTGCAGAAATTACCCTTGATCCGCCACCCAATTGCAGGTATGACGCTGATAATATTCGTTATTCTTCAATTACTCATTCTTTTTCTTTTCTACGGAATAGTGCCGGTCCAAAAGGCGATAATCTCTATGAATGGGTATCCACCATTCTTGGACCTCCTGGTTCTGTATACGAAGGTGGTGTGTTTTTTCTGGACATTCATTTCTCATCAGAATATCCATTTAAACCACCAAAAGTAAGTATAATCGCATTTGACGTTGGTCATATGTGTATTGACTTTTTTTTGACAAACAGGTGACATTTCGTACACGTATATATCATTGCAATATTAATAGCCAAGGTGTTATATGTCTGGATATATTAAAAGATAATTGGAGTCCTGCATTGACAATATCAAAAGTATTGCTATCGATTTGTTCATTGCTTACTGATTGTAATCCAGGTAAGAAATAATAAAATCATTTTAGTCAAATTTTTAAAAATTCTTTTTTAATCTCATTTAAATCAAAAAGCCGATCCTCTGGTAGGTAACATTGCCACTCAATACATCAACCACCGGGAAGAGCATGATCGAATCGCACGGCTTTGGACAAAACGTTATGCTACCTAGATAAAGGAATCAAGATGCAAAATACAATCTGCCAGTATACACGAACACACACACACATGCTATCCTAACATTCAGGACTAATTGGTCCATTTTACACTAATTAGGTCTCTTTGAATTTCTTATATATCCATCGATTCTTATCCTTTTTATTTCGAAGTTTGATATGACACATGCACAAATGATCGCACTGATTATCTAATTTGGCCTGTTCGTCATCAAGGTTTATCTTTTGTGTCTCCTAAGATATCCTGACATACTTGATTTGCCTTTATTATTTTTGTAAATTAATAACTATTTGAATGATCCATCTCATTATCATCAATTTCAATATCACTTTGTAAATTTTCAAATTTGTCCTCATTATCTAACTGTATGGAATTTTCGTTTCATTTTATCATTTTACATTTTTCTATAATGCTTGTAGCAAATTGATTCTTGTTCGCTTTCCTTTTTATTCTCATTTTCCATATAATCTTTACATATTCGATTCTAAATTTGCCCTATATTTAAAATGCTGATTATATTATCTGTAATAATATTAATATTATAAAATTAAAATGAAATAAAAAACATTACATTTCCTCAACTTATATGGTGATCATAATTTTTTGTTAATGCGCCATCTTTAAGCATTATTCATTATGAATGACAGCGACATCTATTAGAATTATAAAACATATAAAATGATCACGATGCATGATCATGCTTTCATGCTTTTTAATATTTGTTTATAACCATGAATTCAAATCAACAGCAACCAGATTTAGATGATGAGTTTATAAGAGAAGAAGATTTAGAAGAAGTAATTGATTTGGATGACCAACCAACTGACGATATTGAAGAAGACAATGAAGAAATTGATGTTGATGTTGATGATAGCATTTATTCATTCCAATCACATGAACAATCCGTTTTCTGTTGTCATTTGAGTCATGATAATCGATTAGCCATCACTGGTGGACAAGATGATAAAGCCATAATCTGGGATATAACCGAAAACGGATTAATCCGATTCGATACTGGTGGTCATCACAAAGATTCGGTAGTCTTTGCTAAGTTTAATCTCAATTCAACAATGGTAGCCACAGGTGACATGAGTGGCGTCATCATCGTATGGAACGTAGAGGATGGCAAAAAAATAAGTGAATATGAAGTTGGCAATGATCTTAACTGGTTATTATGGCATAACATTATCGATAATGTTCTGTTGGCTGGCTCACATGAAACTTGGATGTGGAGATTATCGACGAATAAACCTCAATGCAGAACGTTACAATCATTTGGTTGTGCTAATCTAGTTGCCGAGCTTTTTCGTGATGGACGACGCCTGGCTATGGGCTATGAAGATGGATCCATAAGAGTTTGGAACCTCGAACAAAATCAAATAGCCTTTACGATACAAGGACACCTGGCACATCAGACTCCAGTAACAGCATTGTCCCTAAATTTAGACGACAGTCTTATAGCTACCGGATCAGCTAATGGTGTCATCAAAATGATTAACGTGAAAAGTCAAAAAGTGATTCATTCGTTCAATTTAGATAAATTGATGGAAGATTCTAATGACGAAAAACAAGAGAACTCGATCGAAAGCCTTCAATTTGGTGGACAAAATTGTCTTGTCATTGGATCCTCCCATATAGAAATTTGGCATGTCCCAAGTCAAACCAAAAGAAATCAAATTCCTTTGTCAAGAGGTGTATCAAAATTATCGGTAGATTCGAATAATGTCAATATTGTATATGCCGGATGTTTAGACGGTGTGTTTCGTGTTATTGACATTCGAACCGGAGAAATAATGAACGAAAAACGTGGCCATCGTGATCAGATACTTGATTTTGCTATTTCGTCAAAGTCTGATTTTGTTCTAACTTGTTCTGATGATTCAACCTGTAAGATTTTCAAAATTGTCGAACACTGAATGGTCATGATAAAGATTAAAATTCAAAAAAAAAGAAGAATTTGATTTATTCTGTTACATACTTTATGGACGGTTTTGCGTTACACGTGGGTTATCGTCCGCGATTCTTGTTTTTATAGAATCAAATTTTAAAAATTTGTTTTTGTTATTATTTAAATAAAAATTTAATCTTTTAATAAAATGAACCGTCGAATAAACAATCAGTTACCAAATAATTTAATACAGTTGCAAAATTGCATTAAACGAGACCCGATCGGCTATAAGCAAGAGGTATTTTATCTCGAATTTGATGATTTTTTGTTAACAATTCGATTCTATCGCTTTCCGTTTTGTTTAGTTTCAACAACAATATGAACATTTTCGATCTTTGTTAGAGCTGTTTCAATTCGATCCTTCATCATGTGATAGCGAATTCATGAATTTGGTCATGTTTTTTGCCCATGTAAGCCATTGCTATCCGAATGATGAATTTGCTGTAGCTTATCCATCGGAATTAATGCGGTTGCTACGATTATTTTCCACATCATTGAATCCAGGCGTTCGTTTAGTAAGTTGAAAATGATTCAATTGATATGGACTTTGATTAATGATTTAGCTTTAAATTATGATAGTTTCTAGTAAAGGCGTTGATTTTAATGCGAAACAAATCACAATTGGCCTCCAACGATCTTATATCTCTTCTTTTTGAATTGCTAAAATGTCCAGATAAAAAGTTACGTTCATTGATAAAACATCATGTCATCACAGACATTAAGAATATGAATAGCCGAAAACGAATGAATACAAACTATGTATTGCAGAATTTTCTATTTTCCATGTTGAACGATTCAAATGTTATAGCGGCAAAAACTTCGTTGTGTATAATGATCGAATTGTATAAGAAAAATGTATGGAAAACGTCCAAAACTGTTAACGTGATTGCAACGGCATGTTTTTCTCGAATACCTAAGGTATGATTTGTTGACTATTAAAAATTCTTGTCTTAACTGAAATTGAAATATTTCTTTTTATTAGATAATGGTCACTGCTTTGCAATTTTTTCTTGGCACTGACCAAGTCGATCAAGATGGTGATAATCAAAAAGATAGCGATGATTCGGATAGCGATTCAGAAAATTTACCATCAGCACAAGAAATTGCAATGGCCAATCGTGTAAATAAAAAAACTAGAAAACGAAAACGTCTTTTAGAACGTAGCAAAGAATTGCTTAAACGTTATCGAAAAAAATCACGTCCCGAAACGTTTGATTTTTCTGCGATACATCTACTCAATGATCCACAAGGCATGGCGGAAAATCTGTTCAAGATGCTTGAATCATTCAATGAGCGTTTTGAAATAAAATTGTTGCTTATTAATCTTATATCTCGACTAGTTGGCATCCATGAATTACAATTGCTCAACTTTTACTCCTATTTACAACGTTATCTACATCCTAAACAGCGAGATGTGACGAAATTATTGCAATACGTAGCACAAGCTTCTCATGAACTTGTTCCACCCGATTCGATAGAGCCTTTATTGAAAGTGATTGCCAACAATTTCGTTACCGAACGAAATTCATTTGAAGTAATGGCCGTCGGTATTAATTCTATTCGTGAAATTTGCGCGCGATGTCCATTTGCTATGAACGAAGATCTATTACAAGATCTAGTGGAATATTCATCATTCAAAGATAAAAATGTATCTATGGCTTCTAAATCCCTAATACAATTATATCGACAAGTAAATCCTTTGTTGCTACGGCGAAAAGATCGAGGACGTCCAACTCAAGCTAGTCGAGAATCAGGCCCTCCGATTCAATATGGCCAATTGAAAGCCGTTGATTTTGTTTCTGGAACAGAAGTTTTAGATGAAAATGAACCTGATCTATGTCCTGAACAATTAGAGGATAATGTAAGTGACAGCGATGGAAGTTGGGTAGACGTGTCTGATGATGAAAACGAAATCGTTGAGGAAAATCTCACCGAAATTCAAAGTGATGAGAATAAAAATAGTGATGAACCGCATCAAGATCCAAAGGAAAAAGCCAGCCTAATATCTTCCAGTCGTATATTGACTCAAGAGGAATTCCAAAAGGTCCGTTTGGCTCAATTGTCCAAACATTTGCAAAAAGCAAGATCGAAAAAACAACCTCCGACAGCATCAGCACAGGATGCGAATAAATCCAGTAGTGCTGCTTTGCCAGAAATTGTCCCATTAAGCTCAATCGAACGACTATACAAACGTCAAAAATCAGACAAACAAGCTCGACTTGAATCAATCGAAGCTGGTCGTGAAGATCGTGGTAAATATGGTTCAAGAAAAGGTAAAATGAATGATTTTGCTAGCAAAAATAAAAGAGAAACTGGTAAAGGTAAATCATTCATGATGATCAAACACAAACTACGCCAAAAACGTGGCCGACGATCATTTAAAGAAAAACAGATTGCACTTAAAAATTCTTTATTGAAACGATTCCAATGAATTTATTAATTATATGATTAAAGTATGATTCATTACAAGATTTTTTTTTTTTTTGAAATAAATTGTTCCACTATTTTGAAAAATAGGGATATAAAACGGATTTTATTTTTGTCAAGACAAAAATTGTTGATTCATTTTGTCAACGATTTTTGTTTTGTAGGTTGATCAAAATTCATGATTAAAGAATCGTTTTCCGGATTTGAAATAAAGTAAAAGATTCAACGTTTTCCAAAACGCATATGACCATAATCAAGGTCACTATATTTGGCTCGTGAATTAAAACGCTTCCCAAACCGCAAATGTCGTTCTGGACGATTGAAGCGGTCAACATCATCTAAATTTTATCGTATGAGAAAGACAAGAAAATTATCTTGATTATCACTTACCTCCATATGAATCTATCGATGGATTAGATGCCGTTGTATCGGTCAATCGTTTATAAATCAAACGATATAATCTATCCGATATGTCGTTGAGATTGTTCGACATTGATGATGGTTTCGATTGTGATGTGGCAATCATATCGGTTTCCCAATTTACACTGTTACTTTGTGCTGCCGGTGATGATTCTGCTCGAGTACATGACCAATGTACCAAGAGTATCATGGCCGACAAATAAATGATAATAAATGCTGTCGATGATTGTTGAGACATCATTGATTCTGTATATCTGTTATTTTCAATAACTGCCAATCGGTTATCGAAATTATTTCCTCTTTTTATACTTTTTATTATAGCCATATTAACATATTTGTCAAGCGCATTACACTTGGTGTGTCAATTTCATCGTCATGCATACAAAATCAGAATACATGAACAGAATTTGAATTAATTCTATTTTTTTGTGATAATTACGATGGATTTCATCTTTGTGAACGCATTCACTAAGTGAACACGTTGACATCCATTTTGTTGATCGAAAAAAAGTTTTGCCTACATTAATTAATTAGTGATTGATCTTGACTATTTAATGCATAAGTTTGTGTTGATGCAAATACGTGCACATCAAAAAAAAAGCAAGCTTGTTCAAAGTTTTTACCAATTTATTATTCGTTCATTATATCGATTAAGGCCTATCGTCATAAATAATAAAAGTTTCTGAATTTCCATAATCTTTCATACTGATTTGTTTATGTTGATTCCATCAACATATTTTTCGATTAAATCATAGCTATGCGACCATAGTTGATCAGCAAGTTTATCATCGTCAACCACTTGGTTATAAGGAGCGAGAGCACAATCAGCATAATATCGACCATTCGATAGCCAGCACTGTTCGGTCACTGTTAAATAGATCATTGTTTGGGCACCGTCTCGATGTGATTTACCATAGAAATATGCCACAATTGTCAAAAAAATTCGAAGATACCATATCCGATTATGTTTTATTCCATTGGTAAGTACGGTACCAGGATGAAATGAATAAGCTACGATATTGTTTGCCTCCAATCGTTTGGATAATTCTCTGGCCAGTATGACCAAAGCTAATTTGGAATCACCATATGTTCCGAATGGATGACGGTCATATCGTTCTAATCGGCTAATGTTGTTAAGATCAATTTTGCCAAATAAATGAGCTTGTGATGATGTCAAAATAATACGAGCACCATTGTTAAGTAGGGAGAAAAGCAGGTGTATCAAAAGAAAATGGCTAAGATAATTGCACTGGAAATGCATTTCCATGCCATCGGACGTGAATTTTTGTTCAATAGGAATACCAGTGGCTGCAGCAAAACAGATCAAGTAATCAATACGTTTTATGATTGATGATCGCTTTAAGCGGTCACAGAATTGGACCACTGAATTCAATGAACTTAGATCACATTGTTCGACTGTTATTACTGTTGTTGGAACCATACCTTCAGCTCGAATTTTGTCAAAAACCCATTTGGCGCATTGCTTGCCTTTGTCAACACTGCGGCAAGCCATTATGATATGCTTACAATTACGTCGAGTCATATCGAGTACATACTCACTTCCTATACCCGTATTACCACCGGTTATAACAATCACTTTTCCATCCAGTTTGGTATCATCCAAGCAAATTCCATTAGTCATACGGAAATACAATTTGATAGCCACACAAACCGCAATAGCTAAAATAATAATGGTAATAAATAAAAACATGATGAGTATTTTCTTTTGGAAGATATGAGTATTATTCACAATTCAAATGAAACGATCACATCCAAATGATGAGCGTGAATGACTTCCAGGTTTCATAAGACAGCTATTTAAATTAATATGAACATAATCTTAGTATATTATGATAAGGGAAGCGAATAACTACAAAAAAAAGTGATCATTATTCAGGTCAGGCAAAAAACAATGCATTCAAATCAATTGGTCAACTAAAACTAAAGAAAGAGAAAACACATATTAGGATGTGCAATCTTGCTTTACCTCTCTCGATTCAAGCACAAGCTTTAAATCATGCACAAAGAAAACTTTAATTAATAACTACAATCCAAGTTGAAGTGTTTTTTATTTGTTTAAATTTATTTATTTATTTATTTTCAATTTTAAGAAAACGGATGTTTCTAGGATTAATATGAGATGATTTGATGAATAAGCCGGATTTATATCATATGACACAACAATCATCGAAAGAAAGAAAATAAAAATGATACAATAGAGAGAAAAAAAATTCAAAGTTGATAGGAGTTAGTCTTTGATGAATCGTGTGGTTCAAAACTAATCAGCCCATTGCATTTGGTACGTTTCTTGATTACATTTCTACGGAATAAGATAAGTTAGCAATAGATTCAAATCTTAAAAGCATGGAAAAACATACCCAATGTGTAAGTTAGCATCACGATTGCTGGCCTCTTTGGTCCAGATACCAATACGATCCTGTGATCGTTTTATAACTACAAAAGCTCCGCAAACATAATCATTATATTCGTCAAATCCTTCGCCAATAAGACATAAAAGCTGCAATAAAATTGGTGAGCAGATGGACAATTTATTTTTGTTTACAACTTACCAATTCAAGCCAAAATTCATCAGTATTGTTGTAGACTTTTTTCACATTGATCAACCAACGTCCACCACTTTTATTGATCGGATCTTCCCACATTGGACGAATACCTTTTTTAAAAAAATAATAAGCACAATTCAAATTCAATTTGCTTGCATATTCAATGTGATTGAACAGGCTACACGATTGAAATAGAAAAAAGGATTAGAATGGACAATGTATTTTATAGAATCGAACAACAAACCCCCAGAAATCTTCCACGGTATCAACCGAAGTGATATTGAATAGATTTTCTTCGAACACACTCGATACGTTTTTATAGTACCATAGGTCCCATGTATTCTGTAATGGATGCTTTGTTTGAAGTTCAGGTAGTATTCGAGATACAGTCGGTTGTACCGGTGCTGTTCCAGTCGAAACTACTTCTGGTTCATTGTCACCGCTTCCCTGTTTTATACTTTCAACCGGTTTCTGCAAAAAAATTTTAGTTGAAAAATAAGAAATTCTTTACTCATCACTGCTTACCTCGGACATTTATATATTTGTTTGATTGAATTTAAGAAAAAAAATGACGAAATGCTAAATCGAAAAGAAAAATAAATGCCGAATCAAGATGAAACAATATTATCCAGATCCACGCGCAACGTCGATAGCAGTGTGGCTGAACACTGAAATTAGCTGACGCTACCTTAATTCATTCATAAATGACGATTTAAAATATTGCTTAAATGGCCTAATCAAATATATTACACACACATACAACAAACATATTGATTTAAATTAATTTTATTAAATGACAATCTTTAGACGAATGTTTAATAGTGTTTTAATACTAATGAAAATTTATTATTTAATTTGAACATCTAAATTAGGTAAAAACAAATGAAAACTTAGTGGTCATTAACCTTACCATTGTTAGATTGTTTACGATTTTAAGTCATTAATCATTGAGAGGTAATTTACCTTTTTGAGGATATGAGTAGTCGTTCATCGTTGAATAGTTCATCAATGGATTTAGTGATTGAAAATTTTTTCAATAAAATTGAAAACCAATCGACAATTAGCCATGACGATCATGGATCAATGGATAATATGGCCATCATATTGCAAGGTTTGTTTGTTTGTGTAAAGTCAATTTTGAACCTTATAAGTGATAAATGAATCGTGGACTATAGAAATTCAGAAGGTGAAACGTTCAAACATTATGCTTCTTTTACGATTGATATTGAAAGAGCTTTACAAACATCGTTCCAAAGTAACGTTGACAAACGAATGTAAAATATTATTTGACCACCTGTTTGTCTGCCTTGAGAATTGCCTACAACATGGTCTCAAAAGTAAGCAATATTTCTATTTTTCTGTGTGTTAAAATGATTAATCTATGATGCTAGCTCGAAAACAAATGTTTGGTGCAAAATTGGAAATATGGAATGTAATCGAATTGATCAGTAAATTCGGCGATGACTTGGCTCGAGACGTAATCGAAAGTGTTCGACATTTACCCAAGATTCGAACTCCGATAGGTCGGGCACGAGCCTGGTTCAGGTTGACTTTGATGAAAAAACAATTAGCTCAATCATTTCAACAATTGGTTGATCATCGTGACTCACTGCTTCAAGAATATTATGACGTTAATGCCTTAATGTTGTCCGATGATGGCAATGTACTTTGTGGTCTACTCGTCGGCCTCAATTCATTTGACTACAGTGTCTATATCAAAGAGGAAATTCTTGATTTCTATGATTCGGTTATCGATCTACGACTTTATCTTCGTGATCAAACAATGAATAGCTGTCGAGATTCGGGCCAAGACCCGGATTATGTCAATGGTTTCAACGACGAGGAGACTGTTGTAAATTTGCAGCAATTACTTGATCAGAATAACTATCTTGAACAAATGAATCAACGACTTGGGTAAATTCCTTATAACTTCTAATGAATTTGATTTGCATCATTTTTTTTCTATAGATCGACCATCAAATCGTTGGAGCTCAAAATAGAAGCCTTAGCCCAAAAACAAAATGATCATCATCAACTGGAACGATGTGAAGCAGCGGATGAATCGAAATCCGTGCTTCAAGTTGGTACCTTATTAGCTCAAAAAGAACAAGAACTAATGGAATCACTACAAGACAAACAGAAATTAAAGACTGCATTGGAAGATGCAATCAAATCAGGACAAGAAGCTGAAACGGCACGTAATCTGTTAGAGAGAGATATTCAAGAGAAACAAGATGCTATCATCACATTACGTGCACAACTTGAAGATGTAAAAACAATCAACATACAGTTATTCAAAAAAATGCAGGATAAAGAATGTCAGCTTAAAGAAAAAAATGATCAACTTGTCGAATGTGAGGCCAAGATCAATCATCTAACCAAAGAATTGCTAATTGTGCAGCGAAAGTATGTATTGCTAATCCAAATGTTCTTTATGATTGCCATTGTTTAAAATCACTTGCAGACAAAATCAACAAAACGAAGAAAGACGGGCAAAAGAATTGACCGAAAATTTTCAACGAATAATTGACGAACAACAGGAACAGATGACTCGTATGCAATTGGAATTGGATTCGGTTCGTGTCAAACAATCTGAACAAGTTCATATAAAAGAGGCGTACAATCTATTGAAGAAAAAATTTGACGAAAATGAATTGGCATTGGAAGAGATTGGCAAACAATTACAAGAGTTAGTATTTGTTTACATTATCATTAAATAAATCATTTATTTCTTCCAACATCCGACAGCTCTAAACTTGAAATTGAATCATTGCGTGAATATAATGGTCATCTTAAAGAAGCAGCTTGGGCCCGCGATAGTGATGCCAATTTCTGTAAACAATGTGAACAAAAATTCACCATTTCACGTCGAAAGGTAGTTTTTTTTTTCATTATCAAATAAGAGGGCCAATGTTTTAATTTTTAATGTAAAAATAGCATCATTGTCGTAGCTGTGGCGAAATATTCTGCAACAATTGTTCGAACAATGAAATGCCATTACCATCGAGCAAGAAACCTGTACGCGTTTGTGATCATTGTCATGCCTTCCTATTGGAACGATTTTCTACGTCTAATTGACATTTTATTGATGGTTGAATTTTTAATGTCAAAAACTTTGTCGTTTTCAATCATTGAAAAATAATGGGCGGGATATTCATTAATGCCAATGATAATGATTGAATTCGAATTCATGCAAAGAGATGGTGCGCATAACACCTTGCAAGACAAATGACTTAATTGGGTGTATATAGTGAGCCACTCTTGTTTGAGTTATGTTGAGCTCAAAACATCTATTGAATTTCAATGTTGGTTGAAACGAAGGAATTTTTGTGTGCACAATGACAACATGTGACCACATTCTATTTCTTTCTCTCACGGTTTTATCTTTGTCTTGACTTGATACTTTGTTTTGTTAAAATTTTTGAAAATTCTTTTTCCTAATAAAAATGGATCAACATTCAAGAGGTTATAAAAATCGAGGTAGTGATATCGATGATGTACGTCGTCGTCGCAATGAAGCAACGGTTGAATTGCGGAAAAACAAACGCGAAGATGCATTGCTCAAAAAACGTAATATTACCATCACAAACGATTGCCCAGATGGTGGTCATGTTGATGGAGTAATCGAACCAAAATTGGCACTTGAAGACTTAAATTCTTTGGTTATTGCAGCCATGAGTCCTGATCCAGATAAAAAACTGATGGCCATCAAAACTGCTCGAATGTTGTTATCGTCTGATAAAAACCCACCTATCGACGAAATAATCGCAGCCGGAATTTTGCCAACTTTGATCGATGCATTAAAATACAGTAATTTACCAACGTTGCAGTTTGAAGCGGCATGGGCGCTCACCAACATTGCCTCGGGGACCTCGATTCAAACAAGGAAAGTTGTTGATGAAGGAGCAGTTCCGTTGTTAGTAAATTTGCTCTTGTCGCCCAACGAGAATGTTTCCGATCAATCGCTTTGGGCGTTGGGCAACATCATAGGTGATGGTCCCGATCTTCGTGACTTTGTCATCGAAAATGGTGTTCTCGAGCCTTTGATCACGATCTTACATCGTTACCCCTCTCCATCTTTTGTACGTAACCTGTCTTGGGTAATTATTAATATGTGTCGTAACAAGAATCCACCACTTGCGATTACCGTATTGGCGACCATATTGCCTGTATTGCAAAACCTTTTAGAGCATTCACAGGATACATCTATCCTTATCGATGTTGTATGGGCCATTTCTTACATAACAGATCATGGTAATGAACAAATACAAATGGTTATCGATTCCGGCCTCGTCTCCTTTATCATACCACTATTACATCATGAAGATTTAAAGATACAAACACCGGCATTGCGTGTTATTGGTAACATCGTGACCGGTACAGACGATCAGACACAATTCGTACTCGATTCGAATGTGCTCGCTTATTTGCCACCATTGTTGAACCATCCAAAAGAGAAGATCAAAAAAGAGGCACTATGGTTTCTGTCCAATATAACCGCCGGCCGTGTTGACCAAATTCAGACATTGATTGATCACAACATAATACCGACCATAATCGAAAACCTAGATGTTGGCAGTTTTCAACTACAACGGGAAGCAGCCTGGGCTATTTCCAATATGACCATGAATGGTACGAAAGAACAGGTCAGATATCTAGTTGAACACGGAGTCATAGAGCCCATGTGTAAATTACTAACCGTCAAAGATACTCAGATTTTGCAGATCTTACTCGAAGGTCTTATAAAGATATTCAATCATTATGAATCAGAAGCAGATGTGATTTCTGATGAAATTGAAAAATGTGGCGGTCTAGATACAATCGAATCATTACAACACCATGAAAATCATGAAATTTACAAATTTGCGTTCGAAATCTTGGATAAATTTTTCGATAGTTCTGCCGTGGATATACCAGAACTGGTTCCACAAGCTGACAATACAGAATTTAGACTCAACAACAATAATAACAACGAAAATGCTCCTGATCAACAACAACAGTTTCAATTTTAATCTACAAATCAAATGAATCTTTTTTTTACAATCATTTTAACTTATAATCTACTTGATTGACATAATTTTTTTTTTTTGCTGAATAAAGTCTTTTTTTGTTATCATTTTTTTCTTAGTAATCTCTCTTTACTTTTAAGTTTTATTTTTTTTGGATAATCAAAGGGCCCACATTATCTCCAGTCGATTCATTGTGTTTGTTATGGCTACCATCACAATACGGGAACTGGTAACATTGAAAATCAAATGAGATAGGTCATTTATATTCAAATACTTATTCATACCTTTGTGGATTTCCAGCAACGACAGAAAACAGCTTTCTCGTCTAGATCTTCGATATCGAAACTATGAACCACTTTAGAGTTGTCCAGATCAATCTGTCGATTGACTTTATCTTTGCGATCACAACAGGAGCTGGTTTTGTATGTTAAATAAATGCCATAGCAAACAGCTATTGCTGTTGTTAACCAAGGTAAAACTTCGTAACCTGTAAGCCGAAATGGTGAAAAAAATGGTTAATAAAAAAATTTCATTCATTAAAAAAGGATATCTACAAATCATTTTAGGTTTTTGGCGCTTTGAAAGTGATGAAACAAATGATCAAAAAAAACAGCTGAAAGTTTTAATAAACGTTTTTTTTTGTGATGCGCATCTAATGGCTATTTCGACTGGATGATTCAATGCAGCATCAATCAAATTAGGCTGATGTGTCAATGCATGTTTCGTAAAAACTATGTTCCTGTTCATAATCGTTGGAATTTTGTTGCCAATTTATTTTCTCAAACTGTATGTCAGTTACAAACATCAAAAGATTCGAACTCAATATTCGGTAAATGGTAATGACAAAACGGTTGCTTTCTTTCATCCATTCTGCAATGCAGGTGGTGGTGGTGAAAGAGTCTTATGGTCTGCCATCAAAGCTCTACATCATCAATATCCGCATCATAGTTATATCATCTATTCTGGTATTTCATTGTTTTTTATCCTTAAAAGTCTCCATTAATAATGATATCACTTAATAGATAGGTATAATGTAGAGCCATCGACCATAATTAGAAAAGCTAACCAAACATTTCGATTGGAATTGGACGAAGAAATAATGAATGTGCACTTCATACAACTCCGACTATGTTGGCTACTTTTGGCAAAATATTATCCTATTTTTACTTTGCTCGGCCAGAATATCGGCTCTTTGATCGTTGGACTTGAAGCGATGCTTCGATGTCCTCCTGATATTTATATCGATACAATCGGTGCCAGTTTCACTTATCCTTTGTTTCGTTGGTTTGGCTCAGCAAAAGTTGCTACATACACTCACTATCCAATGATCAGTACTGATATGCTACAAGTGGTCGCCGACAATCGGTCCACATTTAATAATCGACCTCTTATTGCTCGAAGTCGCTTCTTGACCAAAATTAAACTAGTCTATTATCATTTGTTGGCTTGTTGCTATCGTATGGCTGGCAACAGTGCAAATGTCGTAATGGTGAATTCCACTTGGACAAGAAACCATATTGAACAGCTTTGGAATCGAACAGTGGCCGTTGTCTATCCACCATGTAATGTGGACAATTTACGTAGTCTTGGTCTAACCAATAAGAAAAATAACATGATTATATCATTGAGTCAATTTAGGCCTGAAAAAAATCAAAAACTTCAATTACAATCGATTTCCAGAATGATTGACATTTTGCCGAAAAATGAATCATCTGAAAAACCACTTTTGGTCATGATTGGCAGTTGCAGAAATGAAGAGGATGAACAACTGGCACAAAATCTAAAGAAACAATCAATCGAATTAGGTATCGAGAATTGTGTCGAATTCAAATTAAACATTGTATATGATGAAATGATTCGGCTGATGGAAGAGGCTAGCATGGCCATTCATACAATGACTAATGAACATTTTGGCATCAGTGTTGTAGAATTTTTAGCTGCTGGATTAATAACCGTTGCTCATAATTCTGGTGGCCCAAAATTGGATATTATCAATGAAAATGAAACAGGATTCTTGGCTGATGACTGTGATCAATTTGCACACCAACTGTATAGAATAATGAAATTGTCTGACGATGACAAACATAAAATTCGACTGAAAGCGAGAAAATCAATGGAAAAATTTTCACAGCAAAATTTTGAACAATCATTTCGTCAACAAATGTCTTTATTGCTTTAATCTTTTAATATTAATTTTTCTGACCGGAGGCAGTCATAAAGTTGTCAGCAAGTGAACCGAGAAAGCCACTGTTATTAAGTATATCAATTCAATCATTGTTTTTTTTAATCAAAAATCAATGTACATACCCTAATTCTTGATAATGTTCAACTTTTTGCGGTGGATCAGAAGTCTGCTCTGTGTTTGCAACAGAATTTTTGCTCATAATTTTGGTCATTTTATCAATCTCTTCATCCAGTGAAGATAGGTCTTTATCCGAACGACTTTTTGATGCAATTTTCTGTTGAATGTTTCGATTAGTTTGAGAACCAGCATGTTCTTGGCTGCAATTTAATATATATTCTTTAGCCACCTTGAATGTCACGAATGAATAACCAAGTTCTGAATTTTGTGGTAAATACCAGCTGAACGAATGAATAAATTCGATAGTGGAACAAAAATGATTAGGCTGACAAATGCAAAGAGAGCATATTACAGCGGCTAATAGATCATCGGACATGATGTAAATTTTGTCACGAGAACCATTTCCTGTGAATGGCCATTCATGTTGGTCGACCGTTTGTTTTAATTGATCGTTGATCGCGTCCAATGTTTGTCGCATGCAATTCAATTTCGCCAACGGTGTACACAAAAGTGAACTCTGTAATTCATCGAATTTGGCATGGATTGTTTCAGATATTGCGAAATTTTCGAAAGCTTTTTGTGCTCCAAAATCGGTAGGTTTCATAGCTCGTGTTTGATTGCTCATTGCCCGGCATTTGGTCACAAATATTTCATCCTGCTGGTTCATTCGCTTTTCAATCATAGATATCAGTTGGTCATATAACAATCCAATTGAATAGCTTTCAATAGTTGCACTTAACAGTTCATTGCTATTGCGTAACGTTCGATTTTGGCTGCGACATTCATCAGCGAACACCTGTATAATAAGTCCGATTTTTTAGACCGTCCAAATGAAAGTTTTGACAATACTGACTGCAACATTGTGATCGATTATTTTTTTCAATTTGGCGGCCACATCGTCCATATAATCGGGCAAAAGTATGTAGGTGTTGATCAATTGTTTAATTTCCTCATTTAATCGATCTAGTTTAGTGGGCGATATTTGTTGAAGAAACTGCTTACAACTATAATAAGTTTGCCATTAAAAATGATGAACAATTAATAAACAAGAACTTACTCTTGGAAAGTATCAACTTTGATTTCATTCGATCGTACATCAAAACTTTCATAATTAAGCTTTGAATTCAATGCAGAGATCAATGGTTTTTCACAGATGAATATGCTGTACTTTTGATTGGCCTATGGTAATTGACGAAGGTCATATTGATCAATCATCCATCAGCCATACTTACATTGTTGTAGGCTTTCTCTTCGTTTAATATGCGTATTGTTTCATGATTAACACCACCGAATCCTCTTGTAACTTTAATGAGATGATCATCGATTTGTACATGAAAATTTTGCTTATTATTGTAAGACAAAAAGTGGCTACCAACAGAACAGTAGGAAGGAAGGAATAATATCAGTAATTATTATTCAATTATCATAGCTGCACGTACGATTTGAGCAATGGTGATGGCTTCAGAATATGCGAACAAATAAATTTATCATTCAATTGTTTAGGTTCATACGAACCATTCACCGGAACACAGACATGGTAACAATTATCGAGAATTTCGTCGTATCGTTTTTTAAAGGTATTCTAAATGGAACGAAAAATAATAAATTACTGAACTGATCTTAATCCAATTGATTTACTAACCACCAAAGTTTGAAAAAATAGATTATCATCCAACGACGTCATTGTTGATTAAAAAGTGAGTTACAAACGATTCTGGATCATATAAACAAAACCTGAGACTATGATCAGCCACCAGATGGTGTATCAGCCATTTAAAAAAAATGTAACAAAGAATTCAATTTAAAAAAAGTTTTTATTCAAAGATATTAAAATGAGTGGGATTAAAATCGAATAAATTTGAATTGATTAAAAATTAATAAAATTTATCTATGAAATACGACCATAATGACTAGTTTTGACGTCGGTGTGTGAATTGGCGGTGGCTATTAATTTTTGGACGACAGTTATAGCTTTTTCAATAGCTCATTAGCTGATTGTTGAAGCTCGATTCAACTTGTCCAATGGATGGCTTTTGCCATACGTTTTCTTTGATTTTTTCTCAGCCGTTAAAGTTGCTGACATTATGGCCGATTCGATGGAAGATTTTATTGATGATGAGGGATGATTGAAAGACTTGGACAATTTTAATTGACCATCAAAGTTTGGAGAATGTTTGAATGGTCGCTCGCTCATGGATTCGCTTTCATCAGTACGAATAGTGTTAGCCGATGCATTTGAAGACGATGATGGATCATGTTTATAAGTCTCAAGTCGTTCGGCTCTTCGTCGAACAAATCCATCATTATGGCTACACTTTGTTTCATCGTTACAATGATGACATGTCATCTGCCTTAAGAATTGTAAATCTAGAGGAGTCATTAACGCCCATGTTTTGCCCATATGAGCGAGTTGCCATTTAATTGATGATCGTTTGATACGGTGATTAGATACTGACTTGTGGCAAGAATTCCCACAATGACGACAATGACCTTTAAGACGACTACAAGCAGCTTTATTTCCATTTAATTGATCATCATCGGCTATGTTGGGCAAACTGCATGTTCGATGTAATGGCTGTAACAACTGATGGCAAGTTACTATCTCATTATGTTGGTCATTGTTGCCGGGAAGGACAATGGGTCTATCACAATCGTCGTCATTATTATTGCTGTCCATTGAAGATCGGACTGCCAAACTTTTCTTACATTTCTTCAACGAACTGTCCGATGATGATACAGTAGTCGTCGTTGTTGATAATGGTGAATGAATGTGGCAATGATTGCTGTCCAACATGATCATCTGATCATAAGATAAGGCCCGTTTGAGTAGACCGCTGCTCGCCTGATCCGAAAATTGCGAATATACAGCGGCATTTGATTGATGAGCAGGATTTTCACAGGAGGAAGATGATAGATATGTTGACAGACATTCGATTTGATCGTCAATGTGGTTGGATGAATGAGCGGCTGTCATACTACTATTGGTTGGTGAAGGAGGTATCGGTGGTTTCATTAAACGGGAATAGACGAGAGTCGAGGGAGCATTTAACTTGACTTGGTCACATTCACCAGTGTTCCATTCATTTGAATCACATGTTTCGCTGGTGGTCGATAATTCTCTCGATTCAAATTGACAGGCCAAATTGGATACGAGACCATTTTTGGCTATAAAATTCTTTTTGAAAAGTAATGAGCCAGCACCACTTTTAGTTTCTCGACTTATTGCATTTGGATTACCAGCTACGATATTTGGTACACCGACTACCACCGAATTAGTTGGCTGTTTGTTTTCGAAATCTTCGATCCGCTCTCTCACTCGTGAACCTGTTATTTCTAATCTCTTAAAAAGATCTATTCGACTTAATTCCTGATCGGTGGAAGTTTTTTCTTTGGGCCATTGCTTTCTGACTGATCGTTTTCTGCAATTCGATTGCTGCCGAAAAATCAGCTCGTCATCTTTGGTGTCACATTTGGGCGGCCAAGACTTTCGTCGATGAAATCTAAATGCATTTTCTTTATCTGCTTCGGCTTTACGATGAAACAAATTGCGAACACGATCACGAGTTTGTATCAGAAAATTCTTTCCTCTTGATTGATGGCTATCACAATTGCTTACACACGAACTTTGCAGTTCGGAATCGGAGTTTGATTTCCACATCATACTATTCTTATTATTACTAATCAATGAAAATGAAAATATCGATTACAAAAATAAAAAATTACAATAAAAAGGCTTTATAGTACCTAGCAGCGAGCATTCCCTGGTAGATAATTAATTGTTGAAGGAAGGCAGGATTTGGACGGATCGTACTACGATGAGTGCGTACATATTGAAGTGCTTCATCAAGATCGTAACATTTTTCCTTCATAATGTAAGCGACAACAACACTGGCCGAACGAGAAATGCCTTTCTTACAATGAACCAATACTTTAACACCTTCATCCCTATTAAATCAAATAAAATTTAAGTAAATTACGATAGAACTAATGTATGAATGATAAGTTACTTTGCTTTCCGAATGTAATAATAAGTATCATTCAAATGTCGAAGCATGTCAGTTGCTTCATCATCTTCAACACGGATATTGTAGTAATCAAAATAGCCCGGGAAATAGTTGTCAATCTCCGATGTGACGTTCAAAATTTTCTGTACCCTGAGTATAGACAAAAGGTCAAATCTTAAATATCAACGATTTGATTCATACAAACCCTTTGCCTTTGAGTTCTTCAAAATTTGAAGCATTCCATTCGGACCCAAGGTACAGATAATCGAGTATCTTAGATGGCTCTTCAAGCTGGCCCATGATCCGAATCATTTCCTTATCAATAAAGGATTTATAATCACTTAGATCACGACCAAGTTGCGCCTCCAATTCGGAACGAATCTCTTTGGAAGTGACCTGTTCCAGATCGACTGAGATCATTACTTCGCGCAATTTTGTGGCGATAATTTCTTCGAATTTCTTGTTATCACTTGATCTAACAATACGAGACAAAGAACACAACATTATATTTGGCCATAATGACAAAATAAAATTACCTAGTTAATTCATGGACATTATTGTAAATGTTTTCCCATTGATCGTTCACTGTGTGCCTATGCATGATTACAAAGATAATGAGAAACAATAGTCAAAATCAAAAATACAACCAACCATTCATGTAGAAATCGAGAATTAGATTTTATATTATTCTTATAGGCAATGACCCATTGATGAGAACCATTGCCTTCATAATGATTATTTTTGATCGATTTCTTTGTTGCTAAATGCAGCGATTGAAATATGGACCACATGGCTTGTACGGATACTGGCTTAAATATATGATGACGATGGCCAGTAGTGATACGAAATCCACTGTCAAAACAAATGAATAAAATAATATTGAAATTGGTGTTAACAACAAGTGGTCATCACTATAATACTAACCCGTCCCCATCCAACATGATTCTCATATCTTTCCAAATGGGCAACACAAGACCAATGGTTGCTTCATTATTATAATCAATGCCTAATAGACAACTTTGATCCATTTCATTAGTCACAACCAATAAATATCGAGTATGACCTAAATCCAATTGCGATTCTAGTCTCACAGCCTATCAAATGATAGAACAAAGTTAGTTAAATGGGCAAAACAGATTCTGACATGCATACCATTTTCATTGTATCTTCTGGTCGAAGAATTTCCAATATCGCTTTAAGATGTTTTTGTATTAGTTCACTAATTGTAGCAGTTGTAGCCGATGCAGCTGTCCGTGAATATCTATGACATTCATTATGTGGAAAAATGATATCGGCATCCCTAACGGCTATGTAGATTTCACTTAATCTGATCATAGAAGTCGAATCGGATGTATTCGCTTGTTCGTTGTTAAGATGGCCTATGATGGCTCTATCATCTTGTTGATTTAAATGCCGTGATGAATTATTATGAACTGATGCTGTTGTTGTTGATGATGATGATGATGAAGATGAGGATGAAGAGTTACCCGCTGGAACAATCCGTTCAATCGTAATCATGGCCATCTTTTTTTTGTCACCAGCGTAACTAACGGCAACACCGTTATCCAACAACAACAACAAAAATCAACTATCAACAAACCATGACAAAGAAATAAGTTCGAAATTCACAAACAAATCACTAATTTCAATAGATTGAATGATTAAAAAATAGGAAACACATAGACACCCATTCAATAATAGAAAGGAAGAATAAAATTATGATAAAATTATCTTAGCGTTCGTGGACAGTGGATTTAAATCAACAAGATGGAAAATTTGTTTAGCCTAACTAATGTTTTTTTTTTCTGTGATTGGGCAGTTCTCTGCTCAGTGGTTGAGCTTTGTCGATATAAACTAGCCTATTACCAAATTGCACCCGTGTCGACGATAGCACATCGCAAATGGCCGTGGTCAAGCAAGAGCTTTTAGTTTGTCTGTTTTTTGTTTGATAATATTAACGAATGAAGAGAGACCTATAGGTGCGAATAGGTTAATCTAGATACCACTACCACTGTTATACAGAATATTGATATTTGAAGGAAATATATTACTATCGTCGACAATTTATCGAGAAAATTTCTAAACATTTAATATGGCACCCAATAGATGGCAATATTGGCGATGCCAAAAAGGTCAATCATAAACCTTCACTGGCAACTTGATCGTCATCACATCTTAATCGTATCATTATTCGAATACCATTATCTTACTCGTAACTTTAAATTTAAATTTTCACTAAAATAATTCATCATGTTTGTTTGCGTACCAAAACGTTTACTTAGTCAATTGAATGCCTTTAATCATTCATTACGAGCACTGTCTACATCACCCAAGGTAATTCACTTGAAACAATTCGGTTATATTCAAATTTCAAATGTTTTCGCGGTCAGATCAATTCCAAGGTCACTGTTCTAGGTGCCAGCGGCGGTATTGGTCAGCCTTTGTCATTGTTGATGAAACAAAATTCGTTAGTCTCTGAATTGGCTCTTTACGATATTGCTCACACTCCCGGTGTTGCGGCTGATTTGAGCCATATCAATACGAAAGCACGTGTGGCTGGTTTTGTCGGACCTGACCAGTTGGCTGATGCATTGAAAGGTGCTGCTGTTGTTGTAATACCAGCCGGTGTCCCACGAAAACCGGGCATGACTCGCGATGACCTCTTCAATACGAATGCTTCAATTGTACGAGATCTTTGCGAAGCTGCTGCACGCAATTGTCCAACAGCTTTTATCGCTATTATTTCGAATCCTGTCAATTCTACAGTACCGATAGCATCTGAAGTGTTCAAAAAGCATGGTGTCTATGATCCAAATCGTATATTTGGCGTAACCACATTGGATGTTGTCCGTGCCAACACTTTTGTAGCTGAAGCTAAAGGCTTAGATCCTTCGACAGTGAATATTCCAGTCATCGGTGGTCATGCTGGTATTACCATTATCCCATTGTTATCTCGTGCCGAACCATCGGTATCGTTTAGCGATGATAAAGTGGATGCATTAACCAAACGGATTCAAGATGCTGGAACCGAAGTTGTGAAAGCTAAAGCAGGAACTGTAAGTTCCTAAATTATTAATTACAAACATTTATAACCGAAATTCTGATAATTACAGGGTTCGGCCACATTATCCATGGCTATGGCTGGAGCACGTTTTGCAATTTCGGTATGAACAATTTTGTGTCCTTTTAATTTTTGCTTTCTTCTCACGAACCTCTTCGTTCTTCAGTTATTGCGAGCATTGAATGGTGAACAAGTTGTCGAATGTTCGTACGTCAAATCGGATGTTGTACCCGATTTGAGCTACTTTTCTACACCATTACAATTGGGCGTAAGTTGGATTATTTTTTTTCTCTGTTATATATAAAACTGATCGAATCTTTTAATTTTTTTCAACTTGCTAGAAAAATGGTTTGGTCAAAAATTTAGGTATTGGTAAAGTGAATAAATATGAAGAGGAAATGATCCAAAAGGCAATACCCGAATTGAAAGCATCTATTAAAAAAGGCGAGGATTTTGTTGGCTCCAGTTAAATTTCGGATAATTTTCCTTCAACCAGTATAGAAAAAAAAGACAAATCTGGAATAAATTGTTGAATCGCAAAATTTATTATTATTAATAAGGATTATTTTAATTTCAATTAAAAAAAATGAGTTATTGTTTGAGCGATTGTCAAATTCAATGTATAAATGTATGAATGAGGATACAGAAATGTCGATAGTAGGCAGTGTAATGTATACAGATAAGTGATGATTTATCGAGATCAAATTGAATATCTGACTGATTCTGGTCAAAATAAAAAATTATTTTTAAAAAAATAAAAATAATAATCGAGGCACCTGATATGAAGGAAAATCAAAAACAAAAAAAAATTGTAATGGGTCATTCATTAATGAACGCCAAAAAAAAAAATAATTAAAGAGATCGTGCAAAATGCAATAGACCAATTAAGGTTGACATTGATTTTACAAACATTTGATCGATGAGAATTAATTAATGAAAAAAAAATAATAAATCACATATCACTTGTTTTTTTTTTGGACGGAAGGAAGCGGTAAAATGACCACTTCGATCACAATCGATGGGTAAAAAGTCAGTAAGGCGAAAAGTTTAAGTAAACAATTTATTTTTTTGTCGCTATCATTCCCAACAATGTGGCGACGGTGGTAATTCCGATGGATGAGCAACGGATGAACTGTGAATTGAAAGAAAAATGAAATAAATATCAACAATAATAAGAAACAAGAAATACCTGGCAAAATTTTTAAATGAAGCCGATAATGGATTGATACAAAGAGGCACCTGATTAGATGCTAAACATCGTTGCATGATTTCTTTGTGTAGACGTTCTGTTCATGACAAAAGTTATTTAGAAATGTTATAGAAAAATCGATATACAATTCATACCTTTTACAATCTGAACAGATGTTAATTCTTTTTCGAATGAATTGTCGAATGGATGAGGAGAAACGGGTTCAAGATCGTTACAAAATCTACGTGTATCACCAACAGTGTAGCAACATTTGCACATACACGAATGATAACGAGCGCGACCTTCCGATAAATATGGATGGTTTAATGCTGTTGCTGAATTAATGCGTTTGTCCTGAAATCAATGTTTAAAAGTTAAAAAATGCGATTAAGTATTAGTAAATTACTTACCGGATTAAAATTGAGCATTTGACAAAGTAGGTGTATAGCTTCGCTATTGGCGTGATTAGATAGTTTGGCCAATGAACTCAGACGATGTATCTTCATCGGTTGCCGTAGAACATGAAGTCGAGCAGCTTCACAGGCGTAACGCATATCGTCCAATGATGGTGTGCCAAGAAGATCAGTGATTAATTCAAGCTAAATGGTTTGTGATCGAATAATAATGATTCATTGTTGAAAAATCTAATGAAATTACCAACCTGTTGTATTGGTGTTTGAGCTTGAAAAAGAATGCGTCGACCCAGAAGTTCGGCAAATATACAGCCAATAGACCACATATCGATAGCTTCATGATAGTATTTAGCTCCCATCAACAGTTCCGGCGCTCGATAGTATTGCGTAACGACCTCTTGTGTCATCTTACGAGAACGATCATTCTCTTCTACGCGTGCCAAACCGAAATCACAAATCTGTCCAAAATTAAAGGAAATATTTTTGTCTCAAATGCTTACTTGGCATATTTATATTTGAACTTACCTTGAGCAAACAATTACTGTTGACAAGTAGATTGCCTGGTTTTATATCACGATGTAATATTCGAGCCGAATGTAGATATTTGAGGCCACGAAGCATTTGATAGAGGAACACTTTGATATGATCAGGAGTTAAAGGTTGTGAAGAAACAATAATCTTATGTAGATCACTTTCCATTAGCTCCGTAATAACATAACTATCGTTTCAAAATATTAACCATTAGGATTTCTATATTTTTCTATTTGATATACTCACATTTCTTGAAAAAAATTTATGAGAGGCGGCTGAAGAATGTCCAATGCGGACAATACCTAAATGAAATCGATTATGAAGTGAGAATGAAGAAAAAGAAAAATGATTGCTTCCTATACTTACATTGTCATGTTTGAAGAAAGATAACATCTTGATTTCACGAAACACGCGTTTACTCGATATGAGATTCTGAAATACATTTGGCATCTTCTTCAAAGCTACACGCTTACCATCTCGAGGATCGGTGACAGACCTACAGATTGTTACATCATTTAAATTTACAAAAAGCAAAAGTTTAAAAAATGATAGATAATTTATGAAATTAATGGGGCAAAGAAGTTTGCCCCATTTAAATAAAAACAAGCTTGAATCGAGATAACCTAGATGGCAATCCGAATGTGAACAATTAACTGTTCAACTCGACAAAAAATGGCAGATTAAAGGCTAATTGCTAAGAATGTCAGTTGACAATCACTTAAATGATTGATCTAATCCATCCTGATATTGCCTACATTAATAATTAGTTCCGAGAAAAATTTCTTACCAAACAACACCGAATGCTCCATAGCCGATAGGCCGATCTGGTGGCAAATCCACATTAGTAACATTGTTGTGGCAATTTGAATGATGATGACCATTGTGATTAACCTGATGATGAATTTGTGCAGTCGGTGGAGAATCATGAATATGATTGTTATTGACCAGATTATGGTGATGATATCCACCACTGATAATGTGATGGTTATTGGTATTTTGACCAAACGTTGAATGGACAGTATGATGGTTGTTATTGTTATTATGATGATGATGTTGATGGTAATCTGGATGATGCACAAGAAGTGGTGTCGAGGACATTGTTGGACCTGATGGAATCGAATTTGTTGATGTTCCTGCGATTGCTGAATTGTTTGTCGTTGATGAGGTAACCGCAGCTAATGCATAATAAGATTGGGCAGCAGCAGCAGCGGCTGCCGCTGATAACATTGCTGTCTGTGATGATGGATGTGACTGCGGTTGTGGATGCGTATGATGAGCATTCAAATGAGATTGATGGTGATGACGTGATGTTTGAGCATTTGATACCATCATCATATGAAACCTTCTTCTTCACCGATAAGAATTATCGATCACTCTTTTCAAGAGTATCATCAAGTCGAAAAAGAAATTGGACACAAAACACTTTTTGAAGCACAGAATTTTTTTTCTCGTTAACTTTGGTATATGACAAATCAAACACAGTGTTGTCGTTCGAAAACAAAGGATAGCTTTAAATTTTTGACGATTGTGTGTGTGCCCCACAATGGAACACTACACTTAGTTGTATTCGGTCGAATAATAAAAACAGCAATGTTTGATGATTGTTGTTGTGAGACCAGCAGGAAAAAAAATGGTTCTCTAACTTTGCCAAGGGGAAAAACTATAGACAACAAAAAAAAAACCCAAGCAACAAACAAGAGCCAATTCGAACGTTTGTTTCTCTCTTTCGTGTTTCTATCGAGCTCATTTATTTAAACTACACTATCCCCCCCGAAACACACAGCAATGATGACCGATGATCGAACCGATCGAATAGACCGAGCACAAAAACACCACAAAGACCTAGCTAGCTCATAATATACGAAAAGGGACTCTCTTTTTTCTCTTTTGTCATCTTTTTTTTTCACTTCTTTCAATGTGCGTGGTACTTACAACACTATTTTGACAACAACAACAACAACGAAAAAAGGACAGAAAAATTAACAGCCGAAGAAAGAAGAAATGAAAAATTCAAATCATCAAGGATGATTGTGCTGTGTATGTATGTACGAGAAAACGAACGAAAAATTATACGAATAAAAACGACCATCGACTAACTAACTAGCTCTTTGCACTAATGGAGCAAGAGTGTAACAAAAGAATTTCGAAATCAAAAAAAAAAAAAAAATGCCAGCCATACAGCCGAAACAAGGGAGGGCGCACAAACCAACCAAAAGTTGAATTTTGTATATGAAAAGAGAA